AATTCAATTTTTCTATATAACTTATTCTATTGAGATATTTTCTATAGAATTTCCTCGGCTCAAATTTTCCAAGTTTTTTCGTTTGATTTTCTTGAGGAGAAAAGAAAAATAGAATGAAAAAAACTTGGAAAATTTGAGTCGAGCAAATTCTATAGAAAATATATGAAAAGAATAAGTTATAGAAAAAAATCGAATTCTGTTGACTTTTCTATTGAACATGTCAATAGAATCAGCCAAAAACTAATAGAAAGTTCAATAGAAATTCAATAGAATTTCTCACGAATTCGTTAGAAAATTCTACTGAATTTCTATTGAACTATTAGTTTTTGGCCGATTCTATCGAAATGTTCAATAGAAAATATTCAGTAGAGAAAATCAATATAATTCAATTTTTCTATATAACTTATTCTATTGAGATATTTTCTATAGAATTTCCTCGGCTCAAATTTTCCAAGTTTTTCCGTTTGATTTTCTTGATGAGAAGAAAAGAAAAATACACTGAAAAAAACTTGGCAAATTTGAGTCGAGCAAATTCTATAGAAAATATATGAAAAGAATAAGTTATATAGAAAAATCGAATTCTGTTGACTCTTCTATTGAACATGTCAATAGAATCAGCCAAAAACTAATAGAAAGTTTAATAGAAATTCAATAGAATTTTCTAACGAATTCAAACATTTTCTAACGAACCAAACGAATGATTTTCTTGAATTTTCGAGGAAACCGCCGAAACTTCCGATCAAATATTTGTGGGACTTGAAAAAAACGGTGTGACTTCCCCCTTGAAGCACAAATTCGTCGAGACAAATTAAATTAAACTCACAGGAAAGCCTTTAGCGCCCATCAGCCCGGGAGTACCGGGTATACCGGGCAATCCTCTAGCCCCTGGAAATCCTGGAACGCCGACTAATCCCGGAAGTCCGGCAATTCCTTTCTCACCCGGAATGCCATCCTTTCCAGGAAGACCTTCGGCGCCCGTTTCTCCAGGCTCGCCATTTCGCCCTGACTCACCTTTTTGGCCCGGATATCCTTGGCTGCCTTTGAGGCCAGGGAACCCCTGGTCGCCCTTCATTCCGGGAACTCCAGGAAAGCCCGGAGAACCGATTTTGCCAGCGGGACCCTAGAATAATTCAGGAGCGCAGCGGTAAAACGATTAAACGCGGAATATCTCCAAATCTAATGGAGATAGCGAAATTTTCATAATAACCTTTTTTGTAGCGCTCAATTCGTTTTATAAAAAAGGTGATATCAAAAATTCTGCTATCTGCCTTAGATTCCGAGATATTCAATGAAAACTGACGAACAGACAAAATCGGCTTGAACTGTTTTACCGCTTCGCTACTGAATACATTTCGTTGGATACACAGAAAAACCTGAACGTAAAGTACTATTTACGTATTTTACACTTAGAGTTAAAGTGTAAATTAGGAGATGGTCTCATATTCATAAATTACGACGATTCAATTAATTTTAGTTATCTGTAATTAACGACGAAGAAAAAAAAGTTATTTTAAGCGTAAAAAATGATGTTTTTTTGGTAAATTACGCATAAGAAAATAAAAATAAATAAATAAATGAAAGCAACATCAAATAAATGAAAAACACATCAAGAGAAAGCAATTAAATAAATAAATAATCAGCAAACAAAAAGTGAGACATTTCATTAAAAAAAAAAATTAGATTTGAAGGGTTTGACGTCGAGAACCAAAAGTTTTTTCTACGAATCATAATTAAAAAAAACAACATTCTTTTATTACCCAAAAAAAAACGCATACTTACTGATTGACCGGGTTGTCCATTTGCGCCGTCAATCCCACGAACTCCAGGCGGTCCCTGAGCCCCTTCCCTCCCTTTCTCACCTCTTGGCCCTGCTTGACCCTTAAAAAATCGAAAATATGCGGCGCTTGATGATACCCGAAAAAAATATATACTTGAATTCAGTAGCAAAGTGGTAAAACGGTTAAAGTCAATTTTGATTATTGACCAGTTTTCAGTGAATATCTCGAAATCTAAGGGAGATGGCAAAATTTTTATTATAACCTTTTTTGTAGAGCTGATTGAGAACTACAACAAAAGTAATTATCAAAATTTCGCTATCTCCCTTAAATTCGGCAATATTACTCAAAAACTCAACTGGGAAATAAGTCGGCTTAAACCGCTTTACCACTTCGCTAATGAATTGAGTGTAAAATATACTTGATTCAGGTATATTTTACTGGAATCAAGTATTTTTACTTTTTTCAAGTCTTTAAAATAATTGTATACTGGAATCGAGAATAATATGGTTGAATCACGTAACAATATAATATACTCGGATCAAGAATGATATTCTTGAATGAAGTATATAATATACTTGATTCAAGTATGAAATGTACTTGATTCAAATATATTCTGCACTAAATTCAAGTTTTTTTTCCGTGATATTTGTCATGGAATATTTTTTATTAGAGACCCAAAGAGAAACAAAGTGATTTATCAATGCATTCGTCAACCTGCTCTCGACTCTATCGACTCGAAATTACAGTAGTTTACCGGCGGTCCCGGCAGCCCTGTCGGTCCAGGCGCGCCCACGTCGCCTTTGTCACCAGCGGCGCCATGCTCGCCCTTGGCTCCATCCAATCCCGGCAAACCCTGGTGGCCTTTAGCTCCAGGAATGCCTGGTAAACCTGGCAACCCCCTCGAACCCCGGAGGCCTTGACTCCCTGGCTGACCTGTTTCACCGTCATCCCCCGGTTCACCCTTTTGGAAAGTCATTCATTAAATCTCTTCCCAGTAACAAATCCCCAAATTTCGTTCTAAAGTTCAAGACTATCACGCAAGACTTTATACCTCCACCAGCCCAATAAGGACAGTTTTTGGTTTAGCTAATCACCTACGCACGAAAAAAATTAATTGAAAAACCTAGCGAATTCGTTTGAAAATTCTATTGGATTTCTATAGAACTTTCTATTATTTTTTGACTGAATCTATTGACATGTTCAATAGAAAATATTCAATAGAAAAAGTCTATAGAATCCGATTTTTCTATATAAATTATTCTCTCCGGATATTTTCTATAGAATTTCCTCGGCTTAAATTTTCGATTTTTTTTGCTTTTTTTCTCATCATGAAAATCAAACAAAAAAACTTGAAAAATTTGAGCCGAGGAAATTCTATAGAAAATATCTCAATAGAATAAGTTATATAGAAAAACAGAATTCTATTGACTTTTTCTATTTAATATTTTCCATTGAATATTTCCTACGCACGAAAAAAATTAATTGAAAAACCTAGCGAATTCGTTAGAAAATTCTATTGGATTTCTATAGAACTTTCTATTAGTTTTTGACCGAATCTATTGACATGTTCAATAGAAAATATTCAATAGAAAAAGTCTATAGAATCCGATTTTTCTATATAAATTATTCTCTCCAGATATTTTCTATAGAATTTCCTCGGCTTAATTTTCCAATTTTTTTGCGTTCTACATTCCTTTTTTTCTCATCATGAAAATCAAACAAAAAAACTTAAAAAATTTGAGCCGAGGAAATTCTATAGAAAATATCTCAATAGAATAAGTTATATAGAAAAACAAAATTCTATTGACTTTTTCTATTTAATATTTTCCATTGAATATTTCAATAGAATGGGCCAAAAACTAATAGAAAATTCAATAGAAATCCAATAGAATTTTCTAACGAATTCGCTAGGATTTTCCATTCAATTTTTTCATCCATCGGTTAAACCTCGGTGTAAGTTAAGTCAACTCCGGATTAACATCCCCGATCAAGAGGTCTTTAATTAGTTGTTAAAAGAGAGAGAGGCGCTTCACAAATTGCCTTACATCTTTTCCAGGAAATCCAGGCAATCCCCTAGTTCCTTGAGGGCCCGGTAAACCTGGTAGACCTGGATCCCCTGTCTCGCCTCGAGGGCCTTGTAAACCTTGTAGTCCCGGTGCACCAGCTGGTCCTAATAATTCAGAATATGACCTTCAAGAAATGAAGTCTATTGATTTTTCAATTTTTTCATGACTTTCTCCGAGTTCTCCCGTCGGAAAAATCTAGAACCACTTTTCATCCCTTCTCAGTTGTTATTTTTCCTTCTCGAGTCAGTCAATTTAATTCGAGTTTTTAATTTCCCATTTTATGTGTAACGTCCGTTGAAAAACTATTATAATATATATTATATTATAATATTATAATATAATATTATATATTATATAATATTATTATTTTATAATAATATTATTTAATAATAATATAATAATATTATTTCGGTCACGACGACAAAATAGCCTAAGTAATTCTGGGTAGCGCTTCATTGGCCCTCTGAGGACAGAGGGGAGTTGCCGTCATCCATTGGTTAAGGCGCACGTGAAGATTGGGTTAGGTTGGCTCGAGCCATTCTATGATTGGTCCAGCGTACGACCACCCTTGTGACGTCATTGGCGATTTCAAAGCGTTTAAATCTTCAACTTGTGATAATCAAATATTAATTGACGCGCGATTTTTCTCCAATATTTAAAAATGAAAAATTGATCATTTAAGACTAAAACTTGAAATTAAAAAATTAAAAAAAAAATCATGCAAGTTCCCCATTACAAGAGTCAAATGTAAGGGTCAAATACTGGAATCATGAGGGTAAAAAATACATCAAAACACACATCAAAAGGATTATATAAATGAAAGCAAAGAAACAACAAAACCCTAGTAGAAATTTCAGCGTGAGTTGGTGCGCGACATTCAACATTTCAGCCTCTGAAACCAGGATTCAAGGAATTAAATGTTCGGGAAGCCCTTACGCTTCTGTGGAGGTGGAGCTAGGAAAGAGATAAACATAGAGAAAGAATCTGCCTGTTTCACTCTCACACCCCGAGAGTAATTTTACTGCACAGTCCCGTCGCGCAGAGGGACACACAGATCTACCCAAACACATTTACGTTGTCGATGGTGGGGGAAGGCAACTTCTCCGACTGAAATGTTAGGGAACCGAAATGTTTTGTCCGTTCTGATCGCAAAGACGAACGTACCTCCGGTGGGGGATAAAAAGATCCATTTCCAAAATTAAATTTTGTATCTGAGGAAATACCTTGCGGTCCTCTCGGGCCGGCAGGCCCCACCGGTGCTTGTAAATAACTCAGTGGATTATAGAGGGATGAGGCTGCGTCGATCGGGCCTTTATCATCACTCGCCTGAGCCATCGCCAATTGTTGGTAATATAAAGACATCTGGAGGGGAATTTCGTCAGATATTACACTTTTTTAACAATTTCGTTCGAGAACTGACTTACATCGGGTACAGCTCCGGGGAGTCCTGGGGCACCTGGCATTCCAGGAGAACCAGGTGCTCCCGCGATACCAGGCTGACCATCTTCCCCTGGTCGTCCTTGTTGACCCTATCTCACAGATAGACAAACAGAAATTATCTAGGATTTTTCTCTACATTCTCCCCTCCCATTGTAGGATTTCTCGCGTAATAAATGAGAAATGTTTACTTTATTAGATTCTGTTATTTGAATTTTTCTGACCTTTTGAGCGGTCCATCAAACTTTACGACATGTCTCAAGTAGAAATGCAAATGGATCACATGAACCGTTATATGACGGTCATATCCCCCGTTTTTTGTGACCGTCACAATGTGCCGAGAAAAAATGACAGTCATTTTTCATCTCTACAGATGCAAATTCTTTTTTGCCTTTATCAATTTTTGTTTAGAGTCATGTTGTATTGGCCTAATCTCCATTTTTTAAGGGAAATCACGGGCATCTTTCATGTATATATTAGGTGTACAAATTAATAAGGTGCCCCTATATTTCGCGGTTTATAATTGCGTTCAAAAACTTGATATTTCAATATTTTGTATGTTGGTAGTGTTCAGTTACCGAAGCAGTAAATACTTCTTACATAACTGAGGCACTGCATTCTTTTTGCATTTCAATTAAAGAAAAATACTGCCGAAGCTGCTCAAATGATTTGTAGTGCTCTTGGAAAAAACGCTGTAACACATAAAACGTGTGAAAAGTGGTACCGGAGGTTTAGAGACGGAGATTTCGATCTGTCACAAGACCCTTATTTTTGGTCATATGACACGATCTAAAAAGTGACGGTCATTTTACATCTTCAATTGCGACGCGAGGCACTAAGCATCATTGTTTCATTCATTTGCCTTCCCCAGAAAATATAATATAATAATTCGCGGTATTCTACCGATCAATGATAGTTACACCGCAACTATTACTATACGAGAAAATATGCTCTGCCTCGCATCCTTCGATTGATGAACTAAATTACTCACACGTATTCCGGCAATTGAATTTATTTGATTACTCTCCCCCGACACCATCTCCGTTGACTAGAACAAAAAACATGTCAGGTATTTCCAATTTTTCTTTCGTTTCGACGGGACACATTGGCCCTGTAATTACTCACCGATGAGTCTGTGTCATTAAACATTCGTTCAACTGAAAAAAAGCAAAGTATTGGAATTCAAATTTAATAGTATATTTCGTAACGAGTGCAAAATGGCATATTTCGTAACGAGTGCAAAAAAGTGTTTTTTGACGAGTGGGAGGTTATAAATCCCACGAGCTAAAAAAAATTTTTTACGAGTTATGAACAATATTTTTCATCACAATGTGGCGGAAATTGGACGCGGAGCGTGCCGAAAAGTTCACTTTTCGTCACAGCGTGATAAAAAACATTTTTTCGCGAGTTACGAACAATATTTTTCATCACAATGTGGCGGAAATTGGACTTTTAGGCACGCAGAGCGTGCCGAAAAGTTCACTTTTCGTCACAGCGTGATGAAAATATCAATTTTAACTTTGATACCGTACCTGGAGATGAAACTGTTGTTATCTCCGGGGATTCAGTTGTTCTTTCATGACCTAAACACGAAAATAATTTTTTTATTTTTTTATTTTTTATTTTATTGGTTCGGATAGAACCAAATGACCAATGACAGGATCACTACATAACATATATACATATGAATCAAAAATAAAACATAGCAAACGAATTATTTGTCATTAAGGATAATTGGGCGAGGAGGAAATGTAGGAGGTGAGGCGGAGGGGTTTCTATTGTTGTCGCGGTGCGCGTAAAATTTTACTTTACGCACAAGCTATGAAATAGTATATTTCGATACGAGTGCGTAAATGTATTTTTGACACCTGCGAGTTGTGTAACAATCGCCGCAAGGGAATGCTGACAATTTCGAAATTATCACAATTATTATTAGGCATGAATTATTTATTTTACCTATATCTTCATGTCCTGTGCGTGTCGTTGCAACAGCGGCAGTTGTTGTATCTGAAAACTCCCGCAGTCTAATTAACAATTATCAGATACCCCCATGTCAATTTCATTGAATTAATTAACTCTATGAACACATGAAATCGTGACCCGAGCGAAACACTCAGAGGAGACATCCGGCATCATTTGTTAAACGGATTAATTACTGAGGCGTTCGGAACAGCGGAATGAATTGAGCAGCTCTTAGACGAGTTACTTCCACTGTTCTTTCAGAAAAACTCGTAAAATTATGTGTTCAACTTCCTTTCCCCTTTTGGGAATTTGTACCGCGAAGCATCAATAAAGAGCTTTCGGAATCAAATAATTGTCTAATGAGAAAGTAACGAGATTAATTTATTTAATTATACGAAACTTACCGTTTCCAATTTCTTCGTAATCTGAATAATTCTCATAATATTCGTCGTAGTCTACCGGAGGTGCCTGATCTTGCTGCTGACTGCTGTTCCTAGACCTGATCCGCCTCGTTTTTCCGGCATCAACAAGTAACACGTTAAGAATCAGAAAAAACCCGATAATCTGGCCACTTCGTTCCCACATATTTCCAAAAGAGGTGTGTCCTCTGAGCCAACCACCCTTCAACGTGGGCTGAAGGCGACTAAACTTGCGACAATCAGCGTGTCTTTACGAGTTACACTTCGGAGACAGGGGAGGGTTGTCACTCGCCTCCTTAGCCCATCTCCAACCCCCACTTTCCCCTTTGCAAATCGCTTCTCCATTTCTTCCTTCACCTCTCATGTAGATCAGTACTATATTGCACTCGTCAAGTGGTCACTTGACCATTGGGCACAGCATCATTTTTGCAACGCTAACTGGGACTCCACACGCTGAGAGAAAAAATTTGCTCTGTTGAAAAACTAGGAGGTATTCCATGCCAAATGAGTGTACGGCTGACTCTCACCCTTCTGGAAATTGATCTCGATTTTTTCTACGATTGGGGAGCTAGAAGAACTATCGCTCAATTTTTTTCAGATTTTTTCGACAGCCCGTTTCGGAGATATGATTTTTTATTTCAGTAGCGAAGTGGTAAACCGGTTCAAGTCGATTTTGACTATTGACCCGTTTTTAGTGAATATCACGGAATCCAAGGGAGATAGCTGAATTTTTGTTAAAACCTTTTTTGTAGCACTCAATTTGCTCTAGAAAAAAGGTTATTACGAAAATTTCATTATCTTCTTTAAATTCGGAGATATTCTTCAAAAACTCAACTAAGAGGTAAGTCGACTTAAACCGGTTTACCACTTCACTACTGATTTGTAATCGTGATTTTTTCGATTTCCTAATTTTGGGTGGAAATGCCTGGAAATGCCATGAAAAGAGAAGAAATGATGTTTTTAAAAAATGTTTTCACTTCACCCGCAAGTAATGAAAAAAATATTTTCGTACTCATTATTAAATCTATATAGACCCAAAAAAAAATTACTTTTGATCAGTAGCTAAAGTACTTATACCCAGTACCAAGAGGTTCTGGGGAAAAGGCACATTTTTGTACTTCCTCGAAGTTACAAAACAACTTGATGCAAGTATCATGCGTCAAGTACCTGTGCAGTGGTGAGAAGTACCTCAGTACTTGTCACAAGTATTTTGTTACTTGGGACAAGTAAAAAAATTACTTGGACTGAGTACCTGGCTGGTTCTTTTCAAAAGTACCAAATAAACTCAATATAAGTTGAGTATAAGAACTTAAAAATGTTTTTCTACCTCTTCTAAAAACCGAATTTCGTCAAAAATTCAAAAATCCAAATAATTCCCGTTTCAATTGATTTGATCAATTGATTTTTTCCTACAAAATATGTTCTGCTGAACATTTCTATTTACAAAAATGCGTAAGAAAGCCCAAGTAATCAATTGGAAGTACTGAAATTAAGTCCTAAAAGTACTCGAGAGAAGTTGAAAAATTACTTTTCACCAGTACCTTTGGTACTTGTGAAAAGTACTAAAAGTACTGGCAGTAAGTAGTGATACTACTTCCTCCCAGTACCATTTCTACTAGATTGGCAGATGTGGTACTTCACCCAAGGACCCAAAATGTACTTGGGACGAGTATTTTTAGAACTTTTCAAAAGTGAACTTCCTCCCAAGTACCGGTTTATACTCGTGAGAAGTAATTCTTTTTTGTGTATTACCGTTTTTCCCTTCGCCACCCCTTCTTGCTAGGGTTGAACTGTTTTCCCGATTAGTTGACACCCCAAAAAACACACCTTTCCTTTCTGAGAATGAACACGCGAAGAAGAACGCTATGGGGTACCAGTGCTCCAGTGAAGATTAGCAAACGCTCGACCCACTTATCCAGATGGTTATTTTTTTGTACATGCAATAAGTGTCGTTGCAGCTGCCACATGATAGTGCCATTCTAGTGGTGTTTCTTCTCAGAAAGATCTCCGTGGGGATACGAATATGGAAGCGTGAATCTCGTTCTAGATCACATTATGATGCAGTTGACGCATTGTTCTTAGTGACGATTGTGATATCATCTTGTCTCCGTTCTTTCGTGTTCGGACACTCAATAAAGTTTGTTAAATTCAAATTATTATTTTGGCCGCGTTTCTGTCGCTACTGCAATCAACTGAGTTAGACGACGTTCGAAGCGTAAAGAGGCCACGTTAAACCATCATTTGCATCAAATTGTTATAAATCGATGAAGATTCTTTCACTTCAGACTTTACTTCAATAACCGATAATTTACTCTCGTTCACATGTATTTTATGCACAGTTAACAATTTTCGTCTGAATTTTCCGTACCAAATTGTGGAAATTTTTATCCGATTCAAGTTCCACTGAAATTTCAGAAAATCTTGTCATTGAAATATCAAATATTCCATTGATTTTCGGTTCTGAGATCAAATAGGTTCTGACGAATGATCTGGAAAGCAATAAAATACTTGATTTTTCAGTTCATTTATTCAGTGAAAATTCAGGAAAATTTGAAAATCCATGTCATTTTGGTTCTGAATATTCATGTTCCACTCACGGAGAGAAATATTCAATAAAAATTACGTCTTTTCCGTAATTCCGAAGCAAAATGTGGCTCCAGGAAATTTTACGGAACTGTCACGGAATTTTTCCAGAGCGCTCCGTAATTTTTTTCTGTATCTCATGTGAAAAATTACGATACCGTCACTTAAATTTTCTGAGTCGATTCCGTAATCGGTAAGCGAATTGTGAGTTCCGTAATTTTTACTGAATATTTCTCTCCGTGCTGAAAATGCACTCAATTTGTGAAATTGCCATCTCACTTCCACTTAAAACTCATGAATTTCTGTGAATTCTACTTGAAACTTGAAATTTTATAACCATTTTTTCCCTAAATCCGATTCAATGTCACTCGTGAGATTTAATATAACGTCTTCCATGAAGTTTCAAAAAAATTCTAACAGTATGTGTTACCGGAATATAATTATATAATTTCAATTCATTTTGTTTATAATAATATAATAATTATTGGTATTGTTTATAACAACTCTCTCACCTCTGTAGATTTGGCAGCGACCAAACCCTACAGGAATGGCCATCCAGTCACGCGTTTGATAGAAATTCCTCTTTATTAGGTAATTCCTTAGAGTTTTAGCGAAAAACCCTTGCGGGCTGACCATCGAGTCACATTTGAGGGAGAGGAGAATGTATAAAAAAGTTCAGCAAACTTCAATGGTGGCACGTCTTACTTTCCTCGACATTTTTCCCTGATTTTTCTTCAGATAGATTTTTAATTAGATTTTCTTCATTTCTTGTCTGTGATTATTAGACAGCCGACACGAAAAACTACCATCCCTTGTTTCGCATAAAACAAAGGTTTTTCGCAGTAGTAGTGCCAGAAATGACATTTCTTGCGTGTACAGAGAATGCAATTTTTTTTTAACTACTAAATCTATTTTTGCGACAAAAATGTTTCATTCCGCACTCTCTGCGTGTTTCGCACAAAAAAATCCTTTTTTGATAATTTTCAAAAAGCTATTTTTTTTGGCACAAGTGAGACTTGTTTGAGAACTTTGTCGTTTTTCTCTCAGTGTTGAGGCGGCTCAATTCGCCTCGTTATACCCCCATGCTAGTGGAACAACATAGGACTCCAGAAGACATTATTAATAAATAAAATAAATAAAAAATCATTTTGGATTTTTATAGTACAGAGAGACATGATGAGGAAATTGAATAAACGTATACATCAGAATTCTTATAAAGATTCTAATTTATTTTGTCACGTCTCAAAAATGTTCGCACCCCTTGCAGTCATATCTATCTGGAACGTCCACAGCACAATTTTCATTCTACCCTCATAATTCATGGTTCAATCTCTCCCAAATATATCTGTTTATCACTTGATCCAGAGCAAACTGAAACGAAAAAGAGACAAATTTAGATGGGTGTTAAGGATATGAAAGTATCTTTCACAATTTAATACAGACCACACTATAGATTCAATAATTTTCATCAAATTTGTCAATTAAACTGCGTGAGAAAAGTTTGAAAGAAAATAAATGAAATAAAAAAAAAATATATAATGAATAATTAATTAAAATTGCTTAAACTTTCGGAAACCTTATTTTTAAGGCATGAAATCAATTTCTGGTAAAATTCTGAATATGAATAAATCTCGAAAAATGAAAGTTCTATCTTCAACTTACCAATGGGTTCTTTCGGGTGGAAGTCAACATCGTTGACAGATCCGTTGTGACCGGGTAATTTGTACAAAATCCGTCTAGTCGTCGTGTCCCAAATATAGTGGAATCGGTCAGAAGAGCCTGCCGAGACCTTGCTACCGTCTGGAGACCAAGCACACCTCAACAAATTCTGTGAATAAAGTTTATTAATGTCGGAAAACCTTTTAGCGATAAAAAGACGCCATTTGTGATCACATCTAAGGGTAAAATGACAGACAAAACAAAATTTCTTTGTTTCTTGGGTCTTTAGAGCCCCTCAAACCCTCATTCATATGAAGCATTATTTTATATTAACGAAAAAATGCGCAGAGGGTGAAAAAAAAGTCAACAAGTAAAAACTTTTTGAAGCAACAAGATATTCATCTGATAATTACCAAGGTGCAAATTGTTTCATTCGAGGTTTCATTTCAAAAAAGCATAATTCTTGTACGAGAATTTTATTTTGTACTGGTGTAACTATGAAATCGAAATTCACAAACTAAACTGTGTGAACTTAAAAATAATGAAAACTCTTTCTTTACCTTTTCAAAATTGTGCTGATGACCAGACAACATTTTGACACATCTTTCGTATGGAGCGAATGGTCGAACGTCCCAAATTCTCAAAGTATTGTCCATAGAATTTGATAGTACGTACGAGCCATCTGGACTCAAGCTGATGCCAGTGACGGTATCGGAATGCCCTTTCAACTTGTAGAGAACCGAATTTTTTCGTAAATCCCATACTTTGATATCATTGTCGATTCCCCCGCTGATGACTTGCTCAGCTGTATCATTGAACGTAACTGCTGTTACCTGTGATTGAAAAATCAATAAAAGGTGTCACTAAATCCGATGGCGGAATTTTGGGGTGAATTTACAGGGTAGTTTCGAGTCGAATGGTTCCTTGGACACGTACGAAAAAATATAAATTTTAAATTAAATGTTAAATTCAAATTAACTTTTAAACTTAAATTTAAATTACAGATAAAATTAGATTTAATTATAATTAGATTATTAGATTTAATTTTTTTTAGATTTAAATTAAATGTGAAATTTTTATATTTCTGATGATCACGACAAAAATTTCCCTCAAATAAATCTGTCACTCCATCAAATATTCTCACGTGGAGCATATAGTTTTTCGGCAGAAATAATTTTTCCTCAGTGAATGAAATGAAAAGCGAAACGATGCAACAGCTGTAGAAACTTGAAAAATTTATGGTCAAGAATTTTAATAAAATAAATGTCTGGAGAATGACTTCTATAAAAAAAAACTCAATAGATATTCATTTCAGTTGAATAAATAATAATATTTTTAGAACTCTCCTAGATTAAAAAAAAACAATTGTATTGTTTTCAAAAAACATGACAATAAATCAGGAAACTCACTTGATACGTGTTATTCAAAGTGTAACATTGACCCCGTTTCCTTGGATCCCAGATTCTGATAGTGCTGTCATCGCTTCCAGAGCATAGTTGTGTTGGGCCTCTGCGTGCTCCGGCCACTGAATTAACGAAGGAGGTGTGGCCCTTGAGTTTCTTTATTCTCGTTCCTGCTATTATGTCCCACAAGCCCAGAGTCATATCTGTGCTAGCTGAATACAGGAGATTTCCATCGGAACTGCAATGGATCTCCATCACTGCTCCACTGTGACCAGACATAGCTCCAATATTTTCACATTCGCCATAAACATTCCAAATGACTGCAACAATTCGAAAGAATTTTAGTGTACAATATTGCCTAGCAATTGAAAGCATTCTAAATAGCTGTATATTCAACTCTAAAAAATATATATTTCGTGAAATCATTTCTCATTCGATTCAAACAATGAATTAACAATTAATTTCTTGTTTAAGATCCGGGTGGATGATCTTTCGAACGTTGTCTCGATTGTTTTTCCATCCTTATAATGTAAAATTTGGCTCAAGAGGTGGATAATTCACACCAGACGGTGCCTTTTCAGGTTAAAAATATCTCATAGAGGAAAATTCATCAAGAAATATTTAATCCCTAAGTTACAAGATTGCTATCATATCATCATTATTATTCCATTTAAGGGTTCATTTCTTGTCTGTGATTATTAGACAGCCGAAACGAAAAACTACAATCCCTTGTTTCGCATAAAACGACGATTTTTCGTGAGCAAAATACGTATGGGAGTATCGAATAACGAAGTAGTCCTAGAAATGACATTTCTTGCGTCTACAGAGAATGCAATTTTTTTTAACTACTAAATCTATTTTTGCTCTGCATATTTGGCACAAATAAGACTTGTTTGAGAACTTTGGCGTTTTTCTCTCAGTATAGTATTGTCTTAGGATCTACCTCAAATAACAATCGACGAAAAACAAAGCAATTTCCAATAGATTTTCAATAGATTCCCACTTCTGATTCAGTACTTTGTACCTCTAATTGAAGGACACTGATATTTATGTTATGAAGGAACAATAGGACTAGTCACGAATGCTTTTTACGTAAATTTAAACATTGTTATTCTACTCTTTTATATGCCTTATGGTTTTTTTGGTTTATATCATTTAATAATCTTGTATTTGCCCCTAGGGGCTGCATTCTTACCCCAGGGCATCGATAAAATGCTCAAATAAACCAATAAATTAATAAAATACTGATAGAATTTCTTGGTGCATGCGATATGCCAAGCTTTCAATCAAGTTTGTTCATTGAAAACTTACAAATTTGCCGATCGAAACCCGTAGACACGAGATACTGTCCTTCCGGGTGGAATTCCAGTGAGAAAATATCACCCTGATGTCCCTCCAACAGCATAATCGGTGCGATCAGGGAGGACGTTCGTGGTGGACCCTAAAATATAGTGGAATTCCAAATTAATTAATGATTAGTGAAACAAATTCATTTAGGGAAGGTTGGGGTGAAACGGACACTTTTGACTTTTTTAAAAATATTAGTGACGGGTTGAAATGTTGATGAAATTTAATAAATTTTTTTTTCAATACAAAGAACAATTTTTTCCCTTTGAAATGAGCCTAAACTGAGCTCTATTGTTACATTTGTTTCTGAGTTATGAATAATTTTTAAAAAGTCTAAAGTGTCCATTTTACCCTACCCTCCCCTATGCACTTATTAATTTGAGAAAATTCAAGGCGATTGGAACTTTTGAGGTGCACTTACATTCTGGACGACAGCTTTTTCTCTGCTACTGAACACCACTTCATTCTTTGTCCTCTTTGAGGCTGGCACGAGAGCCAGGATCTCGTCGCCTTTCCTCTTGTCTGCAGTGGGCATTTTATAAATTTCCTTGCTTTATCCCAATACTATCAATCATTTGCTGGAAAAAATGTACACATCGACACAACACACACCTAACGAAGCTATAACATAACCTAAACCTTGACACCTATAGACAACTGCCATATCGATTGAAATTAAGCGGAAGAATTCAGTTGCAAAAGCGGTGAAATGATTCAAGTCGATTTTGACCATTCCCCAGTTTTTTAAGAATATCTCGGAATCTAAGGGAGATATCAAAATTTTTGTCGATACCTTTTTTGTAGCCCTCAACTCTCTCTACAAAAAAAGTTATTACGAAAATTTCGGTATCGCCCTTAGATTCGGAGATATTCCTCGAAAACTTAGCGGATGGATTATCGTTCGGACGTGATCTTGGTTGTTTTTTTTATTTTGATAATCTGAAATGATCTCCAATTGCTATTCAGTTTTACATAGCCCTGGAGTCTACAAAAATTATAAGTGTACAGTTAAAAAAATGTTGAAAAAAAGCAAAAATTTTTAATTAAGCAAATTACAGCAGAAATTTTACATTATGAAGAGGGAAAGGCAATCGAGATAACGTTCGAAAGATAATCCACCCGGGCCTTAAACCGTTCTACCGCTTTACCAAATTAAAATTACTACTAAATTAAAATTAGATCGTCATGGAAATTCCATTCGCAAGTAAAATTCTAATTTATTAGCAAAAATATATTGACTATGTTGTGACGAAAGGAATTTCCCACTTGTTTTTTTTCTTCAAGTTTATTTTTCTACAAGAAAAATAACTCGCAAATGTGGAAAAACCTTTTTTAATCAAAGATTAAAATTGCTTTTGCGGTTTACGTATCAGTGGAATACAATTCTCTCGGATGAAGGTGAAGGTATGGAAATGATCATTGAAATTTAAGTAAAATATATTGTATTTGGTAACGTCAAAATACTTTGAACTGACATCACATAGTTTATCTTCGTATCGGTGGGACCAGGCCAGCATGGCCCATGTCCTTGTTGTCTGCATTCTACGTACACAATTCGGAGAAATAATAAAATTATAAGTAATCTTATGTGGATATGTAGATAATATTTTATACTGCAACGGATTTAACAAAATGGCTCATTTCGATTTTTACAACGGTTAACTGCTCTCTAACAAGATTCTTGTATTCAAGTTATCTTATTAGAATGAGTACACGAAGAAACGTAAATATATTATATTCGGCAACATAGAAATGCCCAGAACGGACCTAATATTGTTTCTCTTTGAGGATGTTTCGGCTTCGCAACAATCTGTGACATTAGAACATTCGGAGAAATAATAATAAAATAAGTAGTTAATAAAAAAACCTATCGAATTCGTTAGGAAATTCTATTGAATTTCTATTAAACTTTCTATTAGTTTTTGGCTGAGTCTATTGACATGTTCGATAGAAAAAATTCAATAGAAAAAATTAACAGAATTCGATTTTTCTATATAAATTATTCTTTTCATATATTTTCTATAGAATTTGCTCGACTCAAATTTTCTTAGTTTTTTTCATTCTATTTTTCTTTTCTTCTCATAAAGAAAATCAAACGAAAAAACTTGGAAAATTTGAGCCGAGGAAAAATTGAATTCTATTGACCTTTTCTACTGAATATTTTCTATTGACCATTTCAATAGAATCGACCAAAAACTAATGGAACAGTTCAATAGAAATTCAATAGGATTTTCTAACGAATTCGATAGGTTTTTCTATTAAATTTTTTCGTCCGTGTAGATAAGACTTTGAATGATTGATTAAGATTTACAATGGTCAACTGCTTGTGCTCAAGCCATCCTCTCAGAATAAATGCACAAAGAAATAAATATACTGTATTTGGCAACATAGAAATACTTAGAAATGACTTAACATTGTTTCACTTTGGGGCGGTTTTTCGCTTCACAACAATCGGTGAAATCTACAGACGGGAAGATCAGCGACAAAATAGGATATTCGAGGAGTTGATAAAATAAAAGTTATCTCATATTTCATAAAAAAATCTAACGAATTCGCAAGAAAATTCAGTTGGATTTTCATTGAAAATTCCATCATTTTTTTGTCTATTCATTAAAAAATTCCTTTGATTTTCCGCGTTTTTTACATAGAAATGTTCGATAAAAAATATTTCATACGAAAAATTAATCAAATTTGATCCATCAATAGAAATTATTTCATTGAGATATTTTCTACAGAAATTTTTGTTGTTGAAAACTTATGGCGAGGAATTTCTATAAAGAATGTCTCAATGCAAAAGTTGTGTAAAAAAAAAATTCTACAGATTTTTTAAATAAAATCGTTTCTCAATTTGAAATTTTCTGTGCAGAAAAGCACCGAGAAGCGGTGGAATTTCAAAATAGACGAAACTAATCGAACTAATAGAATTTTCTAGTGAATTCGTTAGGTTAGATTTTATACTGTTTATACTGACTCTATCTAGTTTTTGCAATGGTTAACTGGTTGTAGCCAAGCCAGTAGAATATTTTATCTTATCAAAATGAAGATACAAAGAACATAAATCAATTTCAACAATTTTTACAGGTATACGCAAATTTGTACTATACCGAACTGCGCAAAATATTTTTCCCTTTTGAAATTCTGCAAAAATGAAGAATATATACTTTTCAATGAGTAAAAAACCTCTGAACAGTTGAACTCAAGAATAAAATTAAATAGCGAAGTGATAAAACGGTTTAAGTCGACTTAGCCCTTAGCTGAGTTTTCGAGAAATATCTCCGAACCCACGGGAGATACCAAAATTTTCGTCATGACCTTTTTTGTAGCCCTCAAATCGCTCTACAAAAAAGGTCATAACAAAAATTCCGCCATCTCCCTTACATTTCAAGATATTCATTAAAAACTAACAAAAGTCAAAATCCACTTGAACAATTTCACTATTTCACTACGGAATTGAGTAGAAATTAATATCGAAATCACAGTAACATTTTGTCCAGCCTACTGATGACCTTGAAGAAGACAGCCCTATTCGCCTCATTTAAATCACATTTTTTCGCCATTTCGACAATCTCTGAAATACTGTTGATGTAAATAACAACAATGTACTCTCCATCATATGCCTGATAAACCACTCTATCCAAATGGAGATCAATGAGGACAATAATATCCTTCAAAATGGCAATTCCCTCCTCAACAATATGTGGATTCTTAACGACATCCCACTTAGCCAGTGCATCAATCAAATCACAAATCCTGTTACAAACTTTCGGTTTCAAGTCTATCCCATGCTCAGTCAGCATCATGTAATAATAGTGAGATATTGTCATGTCGAGAGGCTTCTTCACTTCAACTATTGGCTCCCCATTCCCTGTTATTGCAGATTCCTTCTGATCCAAATAATTTCCGTTCATTTTATCTTCCTTTCCACCAGCAGTCGACGCTGACGCTGTCAGGCAGACATTCCCATTGGACCTTTCTGCACTTCCATTCAACCTTTCTGCATTATCAACAGTTCTCACTCTCTCACTTTGCAGTGATGAACTTCTCTCATCAATTCCTCTTCCAAAATCTTCACGTTTCAGTGCATTAGAATGGACTTCTCGAGTCGAACGTTCTGAGAGCTGTTTCTGGTCTCCATTTTCTGGCCCTTCCTCTTGAACTTTACAATCACTCAGAGTCTCAGCTGCTGCTGACGACGCACCCCTCGCCGATGCCATTCGTCTCAGACCAGCCCAGGAATCATTACTCGTGTGTTCACCCTCAGACGATATATCCATGAGAGGCTCAGGCTTTAATTCCCTCATAACTTCCTCCAAAGAATTACCCCTAGACTCATTATTATCGTCATGTACCCCTGTACAGTTATCCGTATTATCCAAACGTTCTCGAGAATCCCTCACGTCCATGGTTCCCGTTTTAAACGATAAATCTGCCATTTCCAATTTCATAGAATACTCTGGGAACAGGTCTCTGTCCTCAGGAGGAGCTGCTGCCCTTGCGGTCACATCTGACGAATCCCCAGGTTCACGAGATGCCTCAGTTGCCTCACGAGCACTGCTTATCGTCGCAGAATATCTGCTATCAGTCCCTCTGCCCTCGATTCCATGTTTATTAGACTTATCATCATCTTCAGTTTTTAATTTACTTTCGCGACCGGTTTGAAGCCCAATTGAATCGCTTCCATCCACACGTTCATCAGGACTAACGTTTACCTGAGAAACTTGGCTTTCAGGACTTTTAGGAATGTCTCCTCGCCCCCCAGACGCCGTGATTTGCGGTTCGATAGCAGAACCAGAAGCATCTGGTGCAGGAATTGAAGGAGTAGCAAATCCCCCCAATTTAATCTTGAACTTGACTTCCGGTTGAATTTTGTGTTCTGTTACGTCGACCCCAGGTTCTTCTTCGTGTTCTTGACTTTCGGTGTTCATTAAATCGTTAATGTCTTGAGTGACTTCAGGGTCTCGTGGGTCGTCAGACGTTGCGTGTGAGAGTGAATGATTGTTCTCGTCTTCGTTTATTCCCGCAGCGTCGATACTGTGGGAGTACTTCATCTCTCTTTTAACATTAGAAGAATCATGAAGAAGATGGGGTTCTGCAGTAGCTGGATCGTTTTCCCCTGGAGCTTCGTCATGACGAGGCATTTCTGAGGCGACGGGAATGTCCCATTCGGTGAACGACGACAGCTGCAGTTTGTACTTCCTCTCGAGACATTCTTCACTGGCAATTGTGATGTTTCGAGAGCGCTCTGGAGTGTGAGGACGTTCGGATCGTGGGAATCGAGAGGTCGAGGGGTAGTCGATCCTATTGTAGTCTTCATTCTCGTATCTTCGATCCATTCTATGTTCATTTTCCCTCCTTCGGGGTGAATACCTCACGCTCTGTCTTCGATCCTCGTCGTCGTACCTTTCGTCGAAGTCCAGTGGCTCCGGGGAAATTGGCTCGTGGTGATCGGCCTCTGGGACATCCATTTCGTCTTTGTCTTGGGGTTCAAGCTTCTCGGATTTCTCGATTTTGCACAGGGGCATGGTCTCCGTGTTGAGTCGGTAGTCCGGCAAGTCGGCGTCGTTGGGGTTGCTTATCAAACCCACGAGCTTGAGGTACATTGCTTGCGCTGCCAACTGTTTGGCTGATTTTGTCGCGTGGGCAACTCCCACCTCTCGGTGCTGACCCACGATGCAGTTCCAGTAGAATCTTCGTTTGTGGGCTGGGCCGTCCTCGATGTCTTCGTGGTACTGTGGTTGGGGTAATTCGTTTCGGGCGCAGAACATCTGGAAGAATGAGAATGAGTATGTCATTAGGTTGAGGGTATCTAAAAGTATCTTTTAAAGGTCGGTGCAGACGAGATTATGAATTTAGTCATTTTCAATCATCAAATTTGTCGATTAAATTGCGGGAGAAAAATTGAACAAAATTATAAAGATCCAGAGCTATTCAAATTACGTTTTGCACAGAATTATGATTTTTTGACATATTCGTTGGTTATAAATGAATAAATGAAATTGTTTAAACTTTCGGAAAACTAATTTTTTTAGGCAGGAAATCGATTTCTGGTGAAATTCTGAATATGAATAAATGAATAAATGCGAACGCATGATTTTTATGGAGGAAAATTGATTGTTTATAAATTATTTGCAGAAAATTATCGTAATTTGGGAAAATTTGCAATTTATAAATGATTTCATTTATTTTCCTCCAAAAGTATTTTTTAATTTTTTTTTCAGGTTTTTAAAATGTTTTCTAAAGGTTCGACATCGAGATTCAAATTCAGATTTACAAAATTTGAATCATAAAATCATTGTAAAATGTCTGAAAGTTTAGGGTCAAGTGGGGCTCAGATGAGAGCTCTCATGTTCGACTACAAAAGTAGAAAAGCATTTCACTGGAGAAAGAATAGCCAGTCTTTTACAGTTTGGTACAGACCAGACTATAGATTTAACTATTTTCAGTTATCAAAAAGATTTGAACAAAATTATGAAGATCCAGGGTCATTCAAATCACATTTTGCACAGAATTATTTTTTTTAACATTCGTTGTTGACTAAATCAAATTTAATAAATAAAAAAAATTATAAGTTAATTTGAATAAGTGAAATTCAAAGAACATACTTTTGAACTGAATTAATTTTTACGTCGTAATCTTCAAAAACTGCATTTTACCAATTACTTAACAAGTCTCCCTCAAAAAGTAGATTTCTCAATTTTCCAGATTCTTCAAATGCGCAATAATGGTTCCCATTTTGGAGAATCCAATTCAGACCTTCCAAGTTTAAACAATACAATCATGGAAAACAATCTGATATTAATAATAAAACGATAAATAATTTGATTATTTAGACAACAATAGCCCCGAAGGTAAACAATAAATGGATGAATACATACACTCAAATTTCCAATGTGGTTTTGCATATTCTCTCCTGTGTTTTGTGGAAGTGCTTTCAATAGTTCAATATCATCGCTTATTTGCATAAGCAGATTCCGGGCTGCATCTTGTTTCGCCTTTTTTTTACTGTTGTCTGTACCAAAGGCCTCTTGGTCTCCGACTGTTACTTTCCACGTGAATTTCGGGACGTTGGTCGTCCCTTTCGTCCAATCGTAAACCAATTCGTATTGGGCTGTTGAGCCACATTTCGCTAATTTTTCGTGGAGCAGTTGCGCCGGAGTTTTGCTCTCCACCAGCTTTGCCTTTTTCTTATCCATGATTGATCCTTTGCATACTAAAAATAGAACGAGCAGAATAGTAAAACGTTATCATTTCGCGTATTTAGTAATGCATTTTGTCATGATGAAACTCGAAATCTAAGGGAGATGGCAAAATTTTTGTTAAGACCTTTTTTGTAGCCCTCGAATCGCTCTACAAAAAAGGTTATTACGAAAATTTCGCTATCTCCCATAGATTCGGAGATATTACGTTATTTCCTCATTGAGGACGAATGAAATACCACATGTCGTTAAGAATTCGCGTAATGGACGTAATGTTGAACTTCATTAAAGGATTTAAAATCGATGAAGCAGCTAAATGAATGAAAAATGAGTTCTAGACCTGAAAGAATATGTGAATCAGGAAAAAACAATAATTTGAAGTCGAAAAAATGAAGAGAAGAATAATTAAATGAGGGAGAAGTGGAATAACTGGTCACTAGGGCCAATAGATGGACGGCGGATGGCCAATACATGGACGGTCTGGAGGAATATAGAATTTTCATCCAGTTTATACAAACATGTGAATTTTTTTTATTGAATGTGAAGAAATACAAGGCCAAATAGATTCTTAATCTTCGGGATGTGATTCTCCTCCTGAAAATATTGTGCTATTTCCCACATCTGACTCTTTCGGAAGAGAACTTTTTTTTTTTCTCCACGACACTTTGTCACTGATGCTTAGCAAATTGCAGCGCCACGCCACCCAGCACTGTACCTCCCGAATATTTTATTTTTTTCCTTGCTGTAATGTTGATATTTCGAAAAAAAACTTCATCACATGATTATACATGAGTGTTATTATTGATAACGACAATTGTCCGTACAGTTTTCATTCTATTATTTATAGAATATTCAATAAAAGGTGAAATCGTCCAGGTGTTGGCCTGTTCACCCTAGACGACCATTTTTAGAACGGAAACTGCACTCAGATAACACCATGAGACTGCTTGCACAGCTCAGACTCTAATTCCAAAACGTTTATGTCCAGCTGCATATCGATCTCTGACGAAAGCATTTGGAATAATATTCCTGATCACCGATCGACGTGAGACTCAGAATTTCGCCCTTTCATTTCTCGAGAGATTAAGGGGTAACAGAAGGCCATCATTACCTCAAAATTTTTTAATATAGGGGAGGGTGGGGTAAAATGGACACTGTAGACTTTTTTTTAATTGTTCATAACTCAGAAAAAAATTTATCAATTGAGTTCAGGTTAGGCTCGTCACAAAGGGAAAGAATTGTTCTTTGTATTGAAAGGAAAATTATTAAATTTCATCACCATTTCAGCTCCTCATTAACATTTAAAAAAAACATTTAAAAAAAGTTTATTGTTTAACAGTTATCACAGCGAGTTAGCGAGTTAGTTTATTTTAGTTTTAGTTTGTTGTTTTTTTAAAAACATTTTTTAAAAAGTGTCCATTTTACCCCAACCTCCCCTATTTCCTGCTCAAAGTTATTAATATTTTTTGACCCCAAAACACATTAATCTTCACTATCATCTTCTGGAGGTTAATGTACTTCAATTTGTAGGAAGATCAATAGGAAAATTCGAGGGGAAATTTGCTCCAAAAATTTGGAAAATTCGAGGCATTCTGCTCCCCTTTAAACCGGAGTTTCGGGTCACCCTGTATATTTTTTGTAATTCCGGGCGTAAGGCAGCGGTTGACAAAAATATGGAATGAAAATATTATTGAATACTCCAATATACATTCCTCAAAATACTTGTAGCTCCCTTGTACTCACTGATTACTGCACGTACCTTCAACTAACACAACAATTCACCATTCCAGACTCAAATATTGTTCCTTGTTTTGCTGGCCAGCAACAATGCACTCTTAACGGCGGTCAATTCGAATATATAGAGCCGAATCAAGGGAATGAACTCCGAAAGGACGCAACAGGTCACATAAACGTGAAATGAATGGAAAAATGATGAATATCCGCAGGTTACTTCACATTTGTAAACACAAGTGCGACGCCAACTTCGCATTGCCTATGCAGCTCCCCCTCCACATGCGCAGTCTGGGTATAATACGTTTAAATGCTCCTGTGATACAGAAGATACGAAGGTGGTGGGGATAAACCCAAAGACCATTCTTTCCGAGAAAAAATCACGGCATTTCATCTGGGATTGTAAATAGAGGAACATTGGTTCGTGAGTTGGCACTCCAAATAATAACATTCGACAAATTTTTGTAGATGACAAAAATTTAATTAAAATCACAACAGAATTTTTGATTGTGTTGATCATTTCATAAAACGTGTTGTCCATTGTGGCACTTGCTTCTACCCTTCTACCAAGAGGATAAAGCCACCAGGATTAGAAGAAGACGAAGAGTCACGGCATTAAAAATGTCAAAATTTACAGTATTCTGTTTATTACTCGGCGTTTACTCAATTTTATTAATTTCTCAATGCGCATCGGAGAATAAGTACTCGGCGGACGCCAATAAAGCCACGAAGCCTAATAAGAATGCGAAGAAAGTCCCGATAATCGCAGACGGAGAAATTCCAGTTCCAACCTCAATACGAGAGCTTGACAAACCGTACAGAATGGCCAAACTCAATTTATTATGGACTAAGGCTAAACACGTGAGCGAAAGAAAAAAACGCTTCGTAAAATGATTAGGGGAGGTTGGGGTAAAATGGACACTTGACTTTTCTAAAAATGTTAATGACAGGTTGAAATGGTGATGAAATTTAATAATTTTTTTCTTCAATTCAAAGAGCAAGTCTCGCCCTTTGTGATGAGCCTAAACTGAGCTCCATTGATAAATTTGTTTCTGAGTTATGAGTATTTTAAAAAAAGTCTAGTGTCCATTTTACCCCACCCTCCTCTACTTCGCAGCTCTGTTCACCCATTTACAATTATTATAATTAAATTTTCAGCGTTTGACGGATCCGAAACTTCAGTCATTGTTCAGTGAGTTGAAGCTCCACGACAAAGCAGAGGTGGCTTATAAACATTATAGGGCTGATGGGAAAGATGAGGAAGGACTAGAGGAAGCTCGACTGAGGAAAAAGTTGATTGGTACGTTCATACGGAGAAACTAATGTGAAACTAACGTAATTCAATAAAACATTAATTTCTTTTGAAATTTCATCATTTTTCAATGAAACTGAAACTAGCGAAAGATTCGACAGCAGATGATTTGTCTTAGGGGAATCTAGGGGTTGTACAAATGTTTTTAAGTAATGTACAAACTCTTTCGCACTTGAAAAATATTTGTACAGATGATTATTTGACTCTCCTACGCTTAAATATCCCCTAAATTGAATTTTTCGCTGTCGAATATTCTGCTAGTTTCAGCTCCATCAATTTTCACTGATTTCTCCTTAAATTTCTCCTTAATTTTAACGAATAATTGACGCCGCAATGGAGAATTTTTCTACCATTTTGAAGGTCAATGTTTTTTGTTTGATTTATTGGGTGAAAATAAAATAAAAATTAAATTTAAAAAACTTGAAAAATTTGAAAAGTTGCAATTTTTAAAGTTGTCATATGTTCTATGGTGGTGAGCCATCAATCTTGGCAATGGGAATTCTGATGTAGTGGGAGCAGAATTTTTGTACTTACGATGCGCTTATTACAGGTATAATGAGTACTTACGGCTTATTGGAACACTTTGCCGCCACCGATGACCCAGAATTACTTAAACACCACAAAGCCCTCAATGACGGGAGTAATTACGCTGCCAAAGAAGTGTTTGAAGATAAACGGCTCAACCAACTGTGGGCCAAAGCGGAAAAAGCTGGATTTACACGTAAAGTTTTTTCTCCTTTCAATTATTTTACAGGACAGCGTCCATCAATTTTAATATTTCTTAGTTTATTAATTAATCTTAATTTATTTATGAATCAGAAGAAAGCTCAGTTATTTTCAGGACAACTGCCGTCAATTCTTATATTTTTCAAGTTATTTATTAATTGTTTTTTCTGTTCTAGATGAAGAGCTTGAGGCTCTGAAAGAAGAATTCGTTCATCATCAAGAAAAAGTTGACGAATACATGAGTCTGTTGAAAGATGTCGAGGGCCCAGATCCAGAAGCCTATAAAAGTAATCAATTTTTATTGAAATATCAATTCATCCTTGACAAAATGAGTAACAATTATCGATTGACGAATCTATTTTTCAAAAAACTTTGACTTTTGACACTAAAAAGGTCGCATTCTCTAGCAGAATCCCGCATAAAATGGAAAATAATAGTGATTTTTACTGAAACATTAATTTATCGTCGAGAAAATAAGTAATAATTATCGATTGACGAATCTATTTTTCAAAAAACTTTGACTTTTGCCATGAAAAAACTTGCATTCTCTAGCAAAATCCTGCATAAAATGGAAAATAATAGTGATTTTTACTGAAACATTAATTCATCCTCGAGAAAATAAGTAATAATTATCGATTGACGAATCTATTTTTCCAAAAAATTTGACTTTTGCCACTAAAAAAGTCGCATTCTCTGGCAGAATCCTGCATAAAATGGAAAATAACAGTGATTTTTATTGAAACATTAATTTATCCTAGATAAAATGAGTAACAATTATCGATTGACGAATCTATTTTTCAAAAAACTTTGACTTTTGACACTAAAAAGGTCGCATTCTCTAGCAGAATCCTGCATAAAATGGAAAATAATAGTGATTTTTATTGAAACATTAATTTATCCTAGATAAAATGAATAACAATTATCGATTGACGAATCTATTTTTCCAAAAACTTTGACTTTTGCCACTAAAAAAGTCGCATTCTCTGGCAGAATCCTGCATAAAATGGAAAATAATAGTGATTTTTATTGAAACATTAATTTATCCTAGATAAAATGAGTAACAATTATCGATTGACGAATCTATCTTTCGAAAACTTTGATTTTTGCCACTAAAAACTTACATTCTCTAGTAGAATTCTGCATAAAATAGCAAATACTAGTGATTTTTATTGAAACATCAATTCTCCCTTGACAAAATGAGTAATTGATGAGTAATGAGTAATCAATTATCGATTGATGCGTCCATTAAAAAAAATATGACTTTTTTGACACTAAACGACTTGCATTCTCTGGCAGAATTCTGCACAAATGGAAAATAATAGTGATTTTAGGGGGAGATTCACTACTCCATGAAATATGTCTTTGTTGAAAAATTAAATAATAAGGATGTGACTTTGCAGATAGCGTGGATGAGGAGCACGAAAGTTGGAACGAAATTGACCACAAAGAGGAAGAATCGAATTCAGTATACCCCAAAAAGGTTGATTACATCGCCACAGCAAACTTACTCAGGTAAATTGAGGAGATTAATTACTTTTCGATATATAATGTTACCCCTTGAATTTTCTCGCACAACTATGCTTCCATTATTAATCTTTCTTGTATTTTATCAGAGAAAAACACATCGAAATAAAGAGTGGATACGATAATCTTGATAGGCTGACTGCGCAGGGCAAAAATCATCAGGAATTTGTGGAACCGAAAGTTCAGGGCTTATGGAGAATCGCAAAAAAAGCACAATTCACCAAAGATGAACTCGCTTCATTAAAGGTGATTATTAAAAATATCGCATTATAACAAAGATCGAATTTATCGTGTATTGTATTTCAAAGAAAAATATTTTTACGGTAGAAAATTGAATATTCGTACAGTAATGTATGAATGTAATATATTACATTACATTATCTATGAGAAAAGAAAGTAAATGGGAGTCTGCAGAAAATCCAATTTTTCAGTTGCTCTGTCAATAATTTTTTTTCAGTTTTATAAAAATGAATATTTAACGTTAGACTTTCAAAATTCAAGTAATAAAATTATGACAGAATTTTCGAAAACGTAGGGTAAAATTCAATTACAAATAATGAAAAATATTTTTTTAAAACAACCAAAGTACTTGGATATTCTCAAATACAAGATATTCCTTTTCACTATAATAATAATAATAATAATGATAATAATAATAATAATAATGATAATAATAATAATAATAATAATAATAATAATAATAATAATAATAATAATAATAATAATAATAATAATAATAATAATAATAATAATAATAATAATAATAATAATAATAATAATAATAATAATAATAATAATAATAATAATAATAATAATAATAATAATAATAATAATAATAATAATAATAATAATAATAATAATAATAATAATAATAATAATAATAATAATAATAATAATAATGATAATAATAATGATAATAATGATAATGATAATAATAATAATAATGATAATAATAATAATGATAATAATAATAATAATGATAATAATGATAATAATGATAATAATGATAATAATAATAATAATAATAATAATAATAATAATAAACTGTTTTCAGGAGGAACTTCGTCACTATGAAACTAGATTATTGAAGCTGCGTCATTTACATACAGAGGCAGCTCTAGAGGCAGCCCGAAATGGAAAAGACTACGATGCTGATAACTCAACAAAACAGAATATAAAGAAACACGCACGAACTGTTGAAAAATTGCACGCCGATATCGAGTCAAGGATTCTCGAACGCCATACAGAATTGTAGTCTTAGATTTTTATGTGATATCATGTAAAAGAGAAAGTTTATCATTTTATATCTATGGAAAAAAATTATTAAATATTTTGAGATATTTTACGATTGCATTAAGTTAAATTTGATAGTTATTTCTATTTGTATATGGGAGTAGATTCAGCCATCTTCAATCATCAAATTTGTTAATTAAATTGTGAGTGAAATTTTTTTCAAAATCAGGAATATTCAGCGTCTTGTAAATTACATTTTGCACAGAACTTTTTTTTTTAATTCGTTGTCTATAAATAAATAATTACAGCTGTTTAAGCTTTCAAAATCTAATTTTTTTAGGTATGAAATAGATTTCTGCTAAAATTCTGAATATGAATAAATTTGTTACGATTCCGAACAAATGATTTTTCATTTTATATTATTTTTATTAATTTATAGAAAATGCTCGTAATTTTCAAAAATAGCAGTTTTTAAATTATTTCATCAATCTTCCTCAAAAAGTAAACTTTCTATTTTTTTTTTCAGATTTTTAAAATGTTTTTTAACGGTTCAATATCAAAATTCAAATTCAGACGTTTCAAAGTTTCTGTCGATATTATAAAAATCCAAATCGACTTCTGGCGATGATCAGGGTCAGAGAAAGAGTCCAAATGAGAAAAAACAACCAAAATCACGTTCCAAAAATATTACTCCCGCGGGCTTCAACTTCCAACTGTTCTTTTCCCGAATACGAAATTTGTTAGATCGATACAGGTATCCATAGCAGTCGCTTGTTTTTCTTCCTGATGAACCTGAAACCTGAATATTTAATTGAATAACACCCTAATCCGCTTCCTATTTTCTCCGCTGTTCCCAACATAATTTAAATCAAATAGGATAATTCATAAAAATGGCAATGGCAGTGCAAGAACGAACGATTCCTGCCATGAATACATTGGTGAAGTACGACAACCCCGTACTCGTTTCAACTCATCCGGAGAAAGTTGTAAAGGACACAGCCCCAGTGAAAATTGGTGTAGCCTGCAAAGCCCAGGCTTCACCGCCAACAGTCGAGGTTCGCCGTGAGACTGTGGAAATTCTCAATGGAATTTTGCCACCGAAAGAGTGGGAAGAAGAGGGACAAATTTGGACTCAACAGGTGAATGCCAATGGGCGATAGGGGAGGGTGGGGTAAAATCGACACTTTTGACTTTTTAAAAAATATTTGCATATTATTTCGTTCTATCCTGTATAATTCATTGTTTATTTCATTTTGTTGAATTGAATAAGATTCTTTTCAGCTAATTTTGTCAGATTTTCAACTTAGTTTAATGTTATCATCACCATTACGGCTCAACCTCTCCCCTCAGCCCTTCTATAAAATATTAATAGAAAAATTTCATTTATACATACTTGAATGAATTTGAAATATCACATTTGAAGAAACCCTTGGAAAGCTCACTTTCAGGGAAATTCATGAAAAATTCGAAAATGTCAACAATCATCATAAAAATCAAATCAACCAATATAGCTATCGTAATCATCTTTTATCTTCGACTTAATGGCATTGAAACAAACATTTCAAGCTATGATTGAATACACTTGAAGCATGATATTCAAAGATATCCCCGGAATTCTGATTTTCAAAAATGCAAAATTTTTGCAAAATTTCAAATAAATCAAAATAACGATTATTGCTATCGCCTTCATCTTCGAACTCGGTCAAAAGGACATCCAAACAAATTTTTTAATCCATCAATCAATCAATTCAGAACATTTTTTTTGTTATCGTGGGACAACCGAATTTCTAAAAAATTCGAAAATTGAAAAAAAAAATCGGGGAATTGAATTTTAATTAATGGTGATCGATAGGGCTCAATAATACCTACATTTGAAAGAAATAGATTCAATTCCATCCGTTCGAAAGCAAGAATTGAAAAAAAATCATGTAAGTTCCTTATTGTGTATTTTGGAAGAGGTAAAACATTTTTAATTTTTTAATCTGTATTTCTGGAGGAAATTTCCACTTCTTTCTAATTTTTCTTCCTTCGAAATCATGCCAAAAATTTATGAAATCACGCAAAAGACTGTTCACTGACTGAATCACTGTTCAATAATATTCGAAGGTTTCAAGTACACCCGCAACCAGATTGGATGTAATTAATCTACAAGAGCAGTTGGATATGAGGTTGCAGCAGAGACAAGCTCGAGAAACTGGTATCTGCCCGGTTCGGAGGGAATTGTATTCACAGTGTTTTGGTAAAATTGCGACTTGTGTTATTTAAGGATATCCAAGTACTTTGAGCGATTTTTCCGTCGATATTTTTTCCTACATTACAGCTAAATCAGAGCTCTCATCTAAACCTCATTTCACCCTAGGTTATCAAATATTTTGTGGTAATTTCAATATTCGAAATTCGAAGGTTTAAATTTAAATTTGATTCTCCATTTGCACCCATGAGGAAGCATTTCGAGATTACGAGTTTTCTCATAAATAATTTATAAATAATGATTTTTTCATCAAAATATTTTTTCCGATATCGTAATAAATTTGTCCATATTCATAATGCTACCTGAAATTTCGACAGTTTAAACAATTTCCTTTAATTGTTCATAAAAATGAAATGTTTAAAAAAAATTATATTCTTGGAAAGAACAAAGTTCACATGGGTGTTTTCGCTAATTATTAGTATGATTTTTTATCTTGAAAAATTGTGATTCTGTTGCGGCGCCTGATGTTTTTTTCTCATTAAAAAGCCATAAAAAATCGTTCTCCTTTTTTCAATTGTATTATGCTCACTGCGTCTGTCTTTTATTTTTTTGAATTTTTTATGAAATTTTTAGTTTTTGCAAAAATAAATTCTCTTTTTTCGTATTTTGAAATAAACTTTCAAGAATACAAAACCATACCAATAATTGGCGAAAACACGGATATGTAAATTGGAAGGAAAAGACGTTGGACGTAACATAATTTTACTTTCAGATGAAATAATACGCCAAGTGACAGTCAACTGCGCCGAACGTGGATTGCTTCTCCTCCGAGTGAGAGACGAAATAAAAATGACGATGGCTGCTTATCAGACACTTTATCAGAGTAGTATCGCTTTCGGGATGCGCAAAGCTCTCCAGGTGAAAAACATTTTATCATCACATAAGTTCAACTATGTAACACACCCCTTTCTCTTCGAATAGACTGAACAAGGTAAGGAAGATCTGATAACCGCTGCGGATGAGTTACGAGCGCAGAAGACTGAACTAGAAAAAGCTGTCACTGAATTGAGACAAAAATTCGAACAGTCTGAGAGACGAGCCGCCGAGCTGCGGGAAGCCGAAGAAAAAAAACATGCGGAAGAGATTCAATTCCTCAAGAAAACCAATCAACAGCTGAAAGTATGCATTTTTGAATGCACAACAATCTGGATTGCATTTCCCATTTTCGTAGCAGTTTGGGTGGCGCGAGCCACAACGAATTATCATTTCAAAATTCATATAAAACGTCTCGAGTGTTCTACATCGTTCACGAACGAGACAAACATGAATATATCCTCGTCCCTCACGATCGTTTCAAGTTTATTTTGACTATTGGTCAGTTTTCTGTGAATATCTCGGAATCTAAGGCAGGTAGCAAGATTTTTGTCATGACCTTTTTTGTGGGGCGTAACAATAGCTGCAAAAAAGGTCATTACAAAAATTTTGGTATCTCCCTTAGATTCGGAGATATTCATTGAAAACTCAGCTAGAACCTAAATGTACTTAAGGATATCCAAATTTGTCAATTCATTTGCCAATTGCGTGAGAAAAATTTGAAAAAAATCATGAATATTCAGCGTCATTGAAATTACATTTTGCGCAGAATTATTATTCTTTAAACATTCGTTGTTTATAAATAAATAATTGACATTGTTTAAACTTTCGGAAAATTAATTTTTTTAGGTCAATTTCTTCAAATTTTGAATATGAATGAATTTGTTACGATTACGAACAACTGATTTTTATAGTGAAAAATTGATTGTTTGTAAATTATTTATGAAAAAGCTCGTAATTTTCAAAAATTGCAATTTTTCAATTATTGCAACAATCTTCCTCCAAAAATAAATTTTTCAATCTTCTTTCAGACTGTTAAAATGTTTTTAAAATGTTGTGAGAAAAAATAGCCAAAGTACTAGAATTATCCCGTAATAAAATCATTTCCCATCGCCTAGTGGAATTTGATTCCTCACCTCAATTAATTACGACACTAGAGAACTCAATGAGTCCTCATTAAAAATAAATGCTAGAAACGAGACAAAAATATATCCCCGACAACTGAAAATTCCGTCCTCTTCCCTCATTTCAGACTCAACTGGAAGGCATCATCGCACCAAAGAAGTAGGAGGCGTTTACTAAAATCAACTGAATCTGAATAAAACACTGAGGACAAAGTATAACAAGTATTCATTCGTTTTCCTTTAATGAATATTCGTCTACATGATATTTCCGCATACAAATACACGTATAGCATTATAAAACGTATAAATATTGCTCATTGAAGAATATAGCTGACAGTAATAAATATATATATATATATTTTTTTGTATTTTTTCCATCAAAACCTAGAGAAAAATTAAATACTCGATAAATTCAGTGTCCGCATTATCCATTAACTAATTTATTCTTCATCCTTCTCCTGTCCACAGCATAATTCATTCTTCGTAATAATGATATTTGTAAATACATTTTTTGTATTATTTTATATTCGTATTAATGGAGAATCGTTATCAAGCACGGTGCAATTGATTTGTATACTGTTACTGTAGCCCCCTTCCTCTCGTGAGGAACTTGTGACAATGAGTGAGAGTTCTATGGGCGATTCGCATTGAAAGAAAAGTAATGGGAAAATGGACAAAACAATGGCATTATAAAAAATGTGAAATTACATAGAAAAAAATACATAAATTCGATTAAACGGAAAAATCATCTTCCCTGTGAGATAAATAACTGGATGAGTCCATCAAAAGGACATTTTTACTCGCTGGTCCCATCGCTCAGACATATGATTGATTAATTAACTTTCGAGCACACGCACAAATCATATTCACGAAGAACCTGTTTCGTCCGACAACATCTATAGCCGTAATTGAAAAAAATAGGGGAGAGTGGGGCAGAATGGAACAGCCGAAAACGAATATTTGACGCGATTCAAGAAAAAACAATTTTTTAATCAACTTTTTTTATTATTGGGAGTCCTGATGAGAATAATAATCTTCTATTCGGTAGAAAAGAACATGCGATTTTGCTGTTTCATTTTCTTTTCAATTAATCCATTGACAAAATCTTCTCCCGTCAAAACTTCTCGATAATTTTCCATTCCACTGAATGGAAAATTATTATTCTCATCAGTATTCCCAATAATCAGACAAAGTTATTTTTAAAAAATTGTTGATAAATTTTTTTTTCCTTGACTTGCGTCTGTTTCATTTTGCCCCAGGCTCCCCCATGTAATACTATTAGTAGTTCTTTCCAAGGCGACGCTACATGAGCAATACAAATGATTAATTATTGGAAAAGCACAATGTAATTCAGAAGTAAAACGATTCAAGTCGACAGCTCTTAGCTGAGTTTTCGAGAAATATCTCCGAATCTAAGGGAGATAGCGCAATTTTCGTAATAACCTTTTTTGTAGCGCTCAATTCCCTCTACAAAAAAGGTCATGATAAAAATTTTGCTACCTGCCTTAGATTTCGAGATATTCACTGAAAACTGGCCAATAGTCAACATCAGCTTGAACCATTTTGCAGCTTCGCTGCTGAATTCTAGCTTAATTTGATGCCAATCATAGTTGAGTTGCTCATCCCAGTTAAATAATCCATATACTGCATATTAATGTTGTGTTTTTACTACTCTATCAGTGTTTCGCAGTAAAAACTTAAGCCTCTTCTTATTGTCTTTTGCATTTATACCCTTAACCTGTGAGAAATAATACACGTGTACTGTCATTTACTCCAATACACAGATTCTGCGACAATTCTCTTACAATTAATTTACAATTTCATCTTTAATTTGAATCAATTACGGTGGACCTCTTCTCGTAAGACTGGAGAAATTTACTATTACAATTGATATTTTTTTTATTCTCAACTAAATAAAGTTTTCTTAATCTATAAAGGTTGATGCATCTCGTTACCTATAATTTGCCATTTTTTATTCTCAACTAAATAAAGTTTTCTTAATCTATAAAGGTTGATGCATCTCGTTACCTATAATTTGCCTCATGATTAGACTATTTTCGAGAGAACAAATGACAACTTCCTCTCATTTCTTTCATCTGCGGATGGGATTAGCTTCAGAGGATAGCTATCCCTACGATTCATGTTCCAATAAATCATATTAAATACGTCAAATGGGGAGAGGGAGTTGAAAAATAATCATTATTATATTTTACATAATTTGGGATGTCCATTTCTCCAGAAAATCGTGAAATAGACGAATAGAATTTAAAAAAACTATAAAAACAATTTTTTTCATAATTGTATCAATTTTTGATTGAGGATCAGACTTTTCAGTTAATGAGTGAAAGCATGGGAAGGTGCAGGGGGAACAGGCCAATACCTGGACGATTTCACATTTTACTGAATATTCTATAAATAATAGAATGAAAACTGTACGGACAATTATCGTTATCAATAATAACACTCATGCATAATTATGTGATGAAGTTTTTTTTCTCGAAATATCAACATTACAGCAAGGAAAAAAATAAAATATTCGGGAGGTACAGTGTTGGGTGGCGTGGCGCTGCAATTTGCTAAGCATCAGTGACAAAGTGTCGTGGAGAAAAAAAAGAAGTTCTCTTCCGAAAGAGTCAGATGTGGGAAATAGCACAATATTTTCAGGAGGAGAATCACATCCCGAAGATTAAGAATCTATTTGGCCTTGTATTTCTTCACATTCAATAAAAAAAATTCACGTTTGTACAAACTGGATGAAAATTCTATATTCCTCCAGACCGTCCATGTATTGGTCATCCACCGTCCATCTGTTGGCCCTAGCGTTCAGTCATTGGGGATTTGGACGATATTCCACTTTTCCCTCACTTAATTATTCATCTCTTCATTTTCTCCGCTTCAAATTATTGTTTTTTCCTCATTCATATATTCTTTCAGGTCTACAACTCATTTTTTATTCATCTAGCTACTTCATCGATTTTAAATCCTCTAATGAAGTTCAACATTTCGTATTTCTCATTCTCCCCCTCTCATTTAGATCATTTCAGCGCTCCTCTGATTTTACTGGGAATCCCCGTATCACTTTTGGACTTATGTTTACGTTCCATTGCTGCATTTCGCACTAAACGACATCGGGCAAGATCAATTAATTTACAAAAATCGTTGACAAGTTCACGTCAGCGTAAGGAATGTGTAGTTGTTCGTCTTCATTACTTATTTTCTGTTATGAAAACGTCATTTGCAGGGAAAATCCGTCGAATTCGAGCTCTCCAACTAGAGAGTTCTCAAACAAGTTTCTTCATAATGAACATAAAATACAGTCAAATGGCAGGATTAATCCGACTCCCTGTGGTATGCTCAATATAACTTTAATTACTTCAGTTTAACATTTTTCTCTTCATACATCTGGATGCAATAATTACACGCTATTGCCGCATCTCCTATCGCCTGCTCGCACTCGTCAACCTTAATTTTTGTTTCATCATTATTATCATTCCCCTCTTATCTCTCACCTCTGGGCATTACTTGGATCATAAAATTTCTAATTAATATAACTCGCTGCACGCATTCACACGAAGTATCGCACCAATAATGCACCTCGAATGTTTAGACTTTCAGTTGCGTCCACGCTTCGAACGCTTTCGTTTCTTCCGCTTCGCATTTCCACCATTAGTCCCTGTTTTTCCAATGTTCGGAGCATTCTCTGATGTTGGACTCGTACAAATAAATGACTCTGAACTCTCAACAGCTGCGTTTATAGAATCTTGTCTTGTAATACCTTCACTCTCACTCTCAGCATCACTTGCACAGGTCCCAAGTTTTCCGTTATCGGCGTCTTCTTCGGTATTACTCAACTCCAAGGATATGATTTTTTCTCTCAACGTTTCCACCTGAATTTGAGGAAGAGAAAATCAAATGGGTTATTTGGATTATTGTGAACAATTGGGACCATGGAAAATAGTTCTTTTCTTAGCCGATAAAATTTCCCCGATGATTCTTTCTCGAAAACTCATGCTAGCACTAGTTTTTTCCATTTTTATTATTCTTTCGTGTTCCTTCATTAATTCAGTAGCGAAGTGGTAAAACGGTTTAAGTCAATTTTGACTATTCACCAGTTTTCAATAAATATCTCGGAATCTAAGGGAGATGGCAGAATTTTTGTTATAAACTTTTTTGTAGATCCGATTGAGGGCTACAATAAATGTCATTACGAAAATTTCGCTATCTTCCTTAGGTTCGGAAATATTCCTCAAAAAATGAACTGCGGGATAAGTTGACTTAAACCGCTTTACCATTTCGCTACAGAATTTTATTTATAAAAAAAAGAGTATTGGAAAATTCATTGAGGCCGGGACTTGAGATCAAAGTAGTTTTTTAAGGCCCGGGTGGATTATCTTTCAAATGTTATCTCGATTGTTTTTCCATCTTCATAATTTTTTCCATTTTTATTACTCTTTCATGTCTTTTATTACTTTTTCATGTTTCCCTCTTATAAATAAATAATAAAACTTGTTTGCAAAACGGTGGATTATTTTTTATGAGGTGTGAAAAAAATTTATTTTTCACATCTAATGAAAAAAAATGCAGATTTTAATCTTTGATTACAATGGAAATGTTCATTTTCACATAAGACACTAGGTTAAATCCTGATTTTTAAACATTTCTTCGTTGAAAAACCAAAACGATAATTAAATTGAGAAAAAAATTGGAATTCCGAATTTAATCGAATTTTCTGCAATTTTTTTGCAGTTTTCAATAATCTTTGAATTTACCGTAAGGGTAGAGCTACTTTGATTCATACAAAGGATTATTCCCTCTCAACGTTATTATCAACACCTGCAGGAGCATTTTATTTCGTTTATTGGAAATATCCCACCCACGCACTGAGGACTATTATTAATGAAAATTGAATATTGAATAATTTTTTTTACCTAAATGCCATTGACTGGGGAAATTGGAAGAAAATCGATGGGGAAAAAATTAGTGCTAAGATGCATTTTGAGGAAGAAATGGTTCGAGGAAAATTTTGAAGGAAAAAAAATCGAGGAAGTTTTATCGGGGAAGAAAAATCGGTGAACCAAAAAATCATTACATATATGTACACGTCAAAACAATTACATGTAATTATTGTTAGTACTCATATATTGATTACTTCTGGTGAACTTACAACATTAGTGCGGGCATGAGTAAGACCATACAAATGTAGAGGCGTGTGAGGTTTTTTGTTCAGTGATTATATTGTGAGAGTGAAGTGAAGACTCAAGGCATTGCAAATTTCATTCCAGGCGTATGTGGTGGCATCTTGTAAAAGTAAGTATTACAATAATATTAATACAATTATAGTCAATAAATTAGAGTCATTCAGTCATTAATCATGCAAGTAAGCAGTGCCGCTGTGTGTCCATGCAAGAAAATCGCCGCGAATTCTCTTTTTGCCGCAAAACTTGTGCTTCAACGGATTTTTTTTCTGGGCGACACGTCAAAATATCTTACAAAAAATATCGTTGGAGAATATCCGGCGCCGAAATATCCTTATGGAATTTATCCTTCATTTTCGTGACGTGCCAACATCAGTGAACTCAACTCTCATCTGAGTTCTCGAGGAATATCTCCGAATCTAAGGGAGATAGCGGAATTTTCCTCATGACCTTTTTTATGACTCTCAATGCGCTCTACAAAAAAGGTTATTACGAAAATTTCGATATCTCCCTTAGATTCTGAGATATCATCAGGTTTAACGAAAACGGTCATAAGAGTTCAAGAATTTTCTTTGATCGTTAATTTCTTAATTGAATAAAAATGAGGTGAAAAAAGTTCTTTTAAAAATTAACGCATAATCCAACAACTGCGGTGAAAGTCCCAGAGAAATTAAATTGAAATTTAATAGAAAATGTTGAATAGAAAAAGTCAATAGAATTCGATTTTTCTATTTTTCTTATTCTCTTTAGAAATTTTCTACAGAATTTCTTCAGCTTAAATTGTCCAAGTCGTTTTTATTCTATTTTTCTCTTCTACTCATTAAGAAAATCAAACGCAAAAATTTAGAAAATTTGAGCCGACGAAATTCGATTAAAAATATTTCAATAGAATAATTCGTACAGAAAAATTATGCGGATATTTCGACGCTGGATATAACATCGCGGATATTTTGACATGACACGCACGAAAAAATTTAATAGAAAAACCCATTGAATTCGTCGGAAAATTCTATTGAATTTCTATTAAACTTTCTATTACTTTTTGGCTGATTCTATTGACATGTTCAATAGAAAACATTCAATACAAAAAGTCAACAGAATTCGATTTTTCTATATACGTTATTCTTTTCATATATTTTCTATAGAATTTGCTCGACTCAAATTTTCCAATTTTTTTTCATTCCATTTTTCTTTTCTTCTCATCAAGAAAGTCAAACGAAAAAACTTAGAAAATTTTAGCCGAAGAAATTCTATAGAAAATATCTCAATAGAATAAGTTATATAGAAAAATTGAATTCTATTGACTTTTTCTACTGAATATTTTCTATTGAACATTTCAATAGAATCAGCCAAAAATTAATAGAACAGTTCGATAGAAATTCAATAGAATTTTCCAACGAATTTGATATTTTTAGTTTTTCTATTAAATTTTTTCGTCCGTGGAAACCTTCAATTTGTCCATGTAATTTCGCCTGCAGGTTTCTACACGGTGATAATTACTCCGCAACATAGGAAACAGATTTTTTTATACATGAAGTGGTGCATGAAATTTCATTCCCTGTGAATGATGAACTTTCTCATAGCGTTTTTTTCTTTTCTAGGCATTTATTAGTACCTCCCGCTCAATGAGCTTCTCGACGTATTCAACGGTTCGTACACGCCGTTCACCAGTGATCTCATCGACGTATTCCTCAGTGCGACGAGTTACCTTCTCGTCGACAACTTTTTCTGATTCGCGTACGGCCTTTGGCGGTCCCACTTTGCTGCGCACGGCAAGCTTAGGAAAATCCGCACTCGAAGGCCGTAATGTAGCGAACTATAATATTTTCAGGAACAAAAAAAACAGATACGAGATGCCCTGTGTGAATTTGTTAATTACCGACATGACAGCATTTTTTTTATTGTATAAGTCGTTTCTCCCGGATTAAGTGAAGAATTACTTTGAAATAAATTATAAAAACGAGCAATTAGTAACGTGTCGAGTCTTGAGACTCCTGACAATTAAAAAATATTGGGTTAATTTATTACGTAAAAGTGGAAAAAAATATTAAAATTTTCGTTTATCAATGGAAAAAATTGAGTAGTAGTTTTTGTTGGATTTTTTTTATTACCTCACTTATCTTTTCTGCTTCTGTGGGCGCCACTTGAGGGTAGGGTGCTGCTGAAATCTCGTCCGCTTTTGTCCCTGATGTGTCCATAATCTCGTTCATTTTCTTTATCACCATTTGCGCTTGAAGTGCGTCCTACAGAGGGTGGAATAATTATAAAACATAAATGATAAATGGAATTCGTGGGTTTCGGTGTTATTTAAGTGAGGAAAAATTAATTTAAAATGACGGAAGAAGTTATTTATCATTGATAATTTTTTATATGAATTATAACTTCGATAAGAGTAAAACATTAATTCAGGATGTTCTCTTTACAATTCAGTAGTGAAGTGGTAAACCGGTTTAAGTCGACTCATCTCCCAGTTTAGTTTTCGAGGAATATTTCCGAATCTAAGGGAGATAGCGAAATTTTCGTAATGACATTTGTTGTAGCTCTTAATCGGCTCTACAATAAAGGTTATAATAAAAATTCTGCCATCTCCCTTAGATTCCGAGATATTTATTGAAAACTCGTCAATAGTCAAAGTTAACTTGTACCGTTTTACCACTTCGCTGCTGAATTATTTTCTTAAACAACATTTGCTCGTTTAGGGCATTCTGTACATTCGGGGTACCCAGGAACATAAATTATTCATCACAAAAGTTTAACACTGACGATAATTTTTGCATTAGGCAAAAAATTTAATGCATTTTTCAATAATTTTTCTAGATTTTTTTCTACATTTTAATATTCTGTCTAATCTCGAAAAATTCATTTTCTGAATTGATTATTGTCGATAATACTAGACTAATTATTGAAACACGAACTCGACCAGAATATTTTTATTCATCTCAACTTCCCTTTGGAATTTATTTCAGTTCTTCATCTTCGAAATTTAAGTTACGTAAATATAAATATTAGTTTGAACAACTTACTTGTTCAAGGGATTTCAACCTCGCCTGCCTCCAGGCCGCACGTTTTTCCGCTCTAAGAGCCCTCTGCTCCGCTGGGGATAAACCGCTCTCTTCGTCGTCATCCGATATCAATCCCTGAAATTAATGTAATTTTAAGGAACGATTTGTTATCGATGATGGGATTTTCAGTGAATTTTTAAGAAGGCATGATTTTTTCTAAATTCCAGCAAAAAATCCTGGGGTTTCTCCAGTGAATTTTATATGACTTCAAATGCAAAATTTATAGGAACAAAAAAGACAGAACAAAAAGCTGCACGAAGCATTTTTTGATGTTATACTTTGTGGAGTTCACAACAATTTTGTGAAAAGTCAGCATTTCGTAAGAAGAAATGGACGAGACAATTATTGGATGGAAATTCTGCTGAATTATTGAGTTTTTCTTGAAGAAAAAAATTCACAGGAAATATTTGTCAGCACAAAGTCAATAAATTCTGTTGTACAATCTATTCTCGTGAGCTTTTCTGTAAGAAAATTCTAAATGAATAAAATTCCTTGCACTTTGGAATGTGATGTAGAAAAAATCAACAGAATATATTACATGGAAAAATCGAAATCTATTCGGAAATAATTGTTAGGAACGGTTCACAGTTTGTAAGAAGAAACGGATAATAATACAATAATTTTATAAAATTAAAAAATTAAAATTAATTAAAATCAGTAACTTTAGCGTTTTTATGAAATTGAAACATTCATAGGAAATATTTTACAGGAAAAAATCAATAGACTTCGCTATACAATCAATTTTCTTGATATTTTTTCTATAAGAAATTCCTAAATGAATAAATTTTCTTCCCTGCACTTTAAAATGTGATCCAGAAAAAAATCAAGAGAAAATATTAAATAAAAAAATTCAAATCTATTTATTTTTTCCTGTTAAATACTTTCTTAAATAATTTTTTCATCAAACACAAAAGCATTCTCTCTGGAATGTTCTCATAAGTGAATTAAAATGTTAGTTGCTTACCTCTTGAATGAGTTTTTCTTTAAACCGTCGTTCTGCCTTGGCGGTCCTGACGATACCCGGTATTCCCTTTAACGAAGGTATTGAACTTCGCGAGCTCAATCGACTACTGCAAGTCAATGAGTAAATTGCGTACTAACTAATTCAAGTATGAAGTCAATTTTTACATGAAAAATTTATTGCGTCAATCGGATACAAAAGCCGTAGAAAGCAGAATTCAATACACACATCAGTCCTATTGCACAAAAATAGAAAGATTTTGCTGTTCTCCTAATTATTACACCACGGCAATACAATTTTGTCAATTTCACTACCTAGTGAGTACACAATTATCTGCTTATTTACATTAAATTCAATTTCATAATAGAAGACATGAAACTGTGTTCTTCGTAGATTTTTTTTATTAAAAAACGAATGATGATGGCATACTGATGATAATGGTCCCTTGAAATTGAGAGCGATGTGACTAAGCGAAACACAAGAATTGCCCGTACTATCAGCGAAGCGTAAGACAATGAGGCATTTTTTAATTAATTTACGGCACTCATAATTGGAGAAATGCAAAAGAAAAACATGCAATTTTTCAGCTTGTCAAATCGCCAAAATACTGTTTTAGCCCAGACTTAGCAGCTCACTCGTCTGAAATATTTTAATAGAAAAAAGCTAGCGCTTTCCCTTGGAATTTCTACGAAATTTCTGTTCAAATTCTAATTAAAAACTTCGGAAATCGATTCTTTGGAGACTTTTTACCAATTTCCGTTGAAAATTATGCGGACTTTCCATGCGATATTTAACAGAAGAGTTAATAATTTTTATTTTCGTATGAATAATTTATTTTCCAATTATTCATTAAGAATTTTTTAATACTCATTGGAAAATAAAGAAAATTCTAAACAGAAAGCCAGTAGAATTTTCAAGGGAATGCCCTGAATTTTCTACTGAATGTTTTCACGTGTGCAGGAATGAAAAAAACCCATTCTCATAAATTGCAAGAACAATATTGAAATACATAGCTTTATGTATACAAAGAGGTGATGAAGGAGGTAGAAGGAAACCATTAACAATGCCTATGCGGTGACTGAAAATGGTAAAATACGTCTAGTGCATGGAAAAACCAAAAAAATGTGCGCAAAAAATGAATGATTGTCTCAGTCGCTCAGTCTCTTACTTAGGTCGCCTGTTATCCTGGTCCTCCAAGGCGTCTTCGGACTCATCCATGCCCTCCATTTCGTCAATCTGTGCCCACGACTTCAGCTCGTCCCTCGTAAGTGTCGCTATTTTTTTCTCTGTTGCAGAATAGAAGAACAGGATGTTACGAAAGATGTCAGGAAATTTGTAGTGAATAATTATTGTTATTGGCTTATTCGTGGATTAGATTACCTTCTTCAGCTTTCATTTTCTCTACTTCATCTTGGCTGAGGAAACTAAATACTTTTTCTGAAAAAAAATTGAAAAATGTTGAAAGGGGTCTGAAATTGTCAATTAAGTCCTGCATCATGCAGAAGTTTTGAAAAATTATGAATGAAGAATAAAAAAAAGTAGAAAAAATTCTTAATTTTTTCAAAGAGCATTTCTAATTTATATTCAGAATAAGTTGAATAACAAGAAATTGAATAATGTATCTGATTTACGGTGACAAATGGCGGCCTGTCACCCAGTATCATGCAGGGGGAAGACTGATTTCGTTAATCTTTTCCCACACTGCACAGAGACATTTATTACGGAAAAGGCTCTTTGAAAAAAGTTGTAATATTTTGGAGAATTTTTTAATCACACTTTTATCACATAAAAATGGCAGATGACTACATACCACTGTTTTGAAAATTGAGATACCTAGCTGTCACTTCCCATGAGGAGTTAGTGTTTTGTTATCCACCATGGAAAATGACAGCTAATAGATAATTTGCCACAGCGAATCAGATATTTGTAATTTCCACTTTTTTCAACTCATTCTGAATCTCAATTAAAAACGCTCTTTGAAAAAGTTCAGAATTTTTTCAATTTTTTAAAATCATTCTATCATAATTTTTGGGAATTTCTACATGATGTACCACTCAATTGGCATTTTGGGATTACGAAAGATAAAAAAAATCCAGATAACATTCGAAAGATAGTACACCCGGGCCTTAAATAAAAATACCGGTCAGAATTTTTAATTATTTTTTCGAAGTGTGTTACAGAAGGACTGAGCGACTATTATTCAGTGAACATAGGAATTAGAACATGAGCAAATCATTTATCGTAATATGAAAATTTAACAGCTGGAAATAGGAAATTGTGCGGAGTTTTCAACAGAAAATTGACAGAACACAAAGAAAATATCCAGTACAATTCCAAATCAAATTAAAAGCAAAATCTGGAGAATTGATTTTTTTTCCATCGAATAGTTTCACACACGTATCCTCCAGAAGAGTAAAAAAAAGACATTTCGCCTGGAATAAATACCTGTTTTTGGAGATGGTTTGAGATGTTCTTCCATAGCATTCTCAAACAATCGCTTCCGATCACTGACAGACATTTTCAAAGGTGGGGCCGGCGTTGGAGACGGCGTAGGTGACGGCTAAATACGAAAACATAATTTTACATTGGCCAAAAGCGATCGCAAAAATATAACTTCAAATCCATAAAAAATCAACATGTGTTCATAAATATCTCATCCGTATTTTCACGTGTTTACTGCGTGCAGATAAGCCGAGAAAATCAGAGAAAGAAGCTCGAACCGTCACTTCATCCATTAAAAATCACGAAAATAAAATCTAATAGATTAGATCGTTAGTAGTAGTTGCATGCCATTGAAACCCACCTCAATCAGCCCTTGTCCATGAACAGAGCGTGCAATCTGTCTATTGTTAAGTGAAGTGGGTGTACCAATTTTCCCAGTGGATCCGGGGCTTGTGAGTGGCGTTGGTGGCAGCCGAGACCGCGTTGTATTTATTCCACCCTCAATACTCGATGATTTTTTACAAAAATCATCCCCAGAAGGAACACGATATTCACTCAATGCAGGATGTGTCGAGTAATTGACAATTGGCGTAACATTACAGTCATTTTTTTTGTAAGGACTTGGAAGAGTTGCAAATGCTACACTACGTTTTGTCGTGTTTTTAGTTTTAGACTTTGGCAATGTTTGAGAGTGAAGAGTATCATCGAGATTAGTCGTTACAACATCGGAAAATGACTTTGCTTGTTTTAATACTGGTGGTAGTGGTGATGAAGGATCCACAGATGTTCCCGATCCCTCATTACTTATTGACTGTAAAGGCTACCAATGGGAAACCATTATCAGACGAGAACGTCACGTGTTAGTTAATTATACTCGATCATTTATCAATTCGTTTGCTCGAGAACACACATAAGGATATTCTGAAACAAAGCGAGTGTTATCGTCCACATTTGGGATTTTTAGGTCCTTTTTGATGCATTTGGAGCCGTTTTGTCAAGAGAAATCCTGATGCGGTCGCATTTACTGGGGGATTTTAGATCGTTTCGAATGGGGAACTTGCATGGAGTTTTCCCTAATTTGCCGATTCTTCCATTCTATGTTACTAAAGGAAAAGAATTATGGAGAAATATTGCCTAGATGTTTTGTAATAATTAATCGAACATCAGACGTTTTTGAAATATATTATTTCGACGACGTAACGAAGTGACACAGGGATGTTATGTTAAGGCCCGGCATTCGAAATCTTCAGCTTTGGACAATCAATTATATTCACAAACAAAAAATTAATCATTCGAAACTTGAGATTGAAAATTGAAAAAAAAATCATGCAAGTTCCCTATTCCGCAAAGAAATCACTGAAAAACAATCAACGTCAACATCATTTTATTATTTCTTCTTTTCATTATTAGATAAATATTCTGATTTTATCTTGTGGTTCGTAATAATATATAAACATCTGGTCCGTTAGAGTTATATTAACATATAACATTTATAGAAAATTCTCTGTTGGCATTATAATTACATTGCAGAATTAAACCTCTCCGATGATATGGCTCTCTTCAGCTTTGTTCAATATTTCGTTATTTACTATGTTAACAGTGAACATTACGTAATTCTTTTTCACTCGCAAATAGGGAAAAATTACAGAATTGATTCTCTCGCCACTTTCATTCGATTACTCCTCGTACATACCTTTCAATCATCTAAATATGTCTCCGGAAAAATTTTGGAGAATTATTGGACGTTTATTTTGTGACACAAAATTGAGTTATTAAAATTTCTTATGAATCTTTATGTTTGAAGACAAACAGTCGATATTTTATTATTCTGATGGTGATAGTTGGGGAGCTGAGAAAAAGATCAACTCATTTGTGTTTTGAGAGGGCGAGGGTCAGGGGCTGACCGATTTGACATGAAATCCCCCATATACTTTTTTAAAATCAAATCACAATAGAAATTGGTAAAAAACAATTAGAAATTCCAATAGAATTCTCGTAAATTTCAGAAGTATTAGGTTTTCCTATCGAATTCTTTCACACGTGAACAGTTACTTCTATTTTAAAAAGTACTGTTCTACATTTTCAAAAGTACTGTTGTTCTAATCGACCGATTTGAATTAATAAAAATCAATTTATAAAAAATTCTCGTTCAGATTAGGGTCAGGGATTGGCGGATTTGACATGAAACACTTCATAAATTTTTTTAAAATCAAATGTCAATAGAAATGGACAAAAAACTATTAGAAATTCCAATAGAATTTTCATAGAATTTCAGAAGTGTTAGGTTTTCCTATCGAATTCTTTCACACGTGAATAGTTACTTCTATTTTAAATGAAATAGAAGCAAATCGTTTCTTCATATTCCACGATGGCCCACAAATGCGTTGGAATCACGTAAACTTTTCTTGGAATTATAAATTTCATCAGGTGCGATAAAATTTCATTCTGTTTTTACAGCGAGAGTCCGTGAAAGAATGAATATTTTTTTTCATTTGTTATGATACATTCTATCATCACAATCAATATATAAACAGCTAGTATTTTCAAAAGTAATGTTTTTACAGTTTTAGTGATCCTCAAATTCAGTAATGCCTCCAAATATCTTGGAGCTCTCTCAATACGTCATGTAAGGAACATTAGCTTAGGTGAATAATTTTTGGACGACGTGAGATCATCATCAGGGTTGAATAATCATATCCACGGAAGCATAGAGCTTTCTACCTAGTTATTACGATTCTCAATGACATGGAGTTATCAACAATTTTCCGTTCACTTAATCGAATAATCTAACTACTGTTAAACCTAAACGAGAAGATTATCTTAAGGCCCGGGTGTACTATCTTTCGAATGTTATCTGGATTTTTTATCTTTCGTACTCCAAAATTGTCAATTGAGTGGTGCATCATGTAGAAATTCCCAAAAATTATGACAGAATGATAGAAAAAATAGAAAAAAATCTGAACTTTTTCAAAGAGCATTTTTAATTGAGATTCAGAATGAGTTGAAAAAAGTGGGAATTACAAATATCTGATTCGCTGTGGCAAATTATCTATTAGCTGTCATTTTCCATGGTGGATAACAAAACACTAACTCCTCATGGGAAGTGACAGCTAGGTATCTCAATTTTCAAAACAGTGGTATGTAGTCATCTGCCATTTTTATGTGATAAAAGTGTGATTAAAAAATTCTCCAAAATATTACAACTTTTTTCAGAGCCTTTTCCGTAATAAATGTCTCTGTGCAGTGTGGGAAATGATTTACGAAATCAGTCTTCCCCCTGCATGATACTGGGTGACAGGCCGCCATTTATCACCGTAAATCAGATATATTTGTCAATTTCTTGTTATTCAACTTATTCTGAATATAAATTAAAAATGCTCTTTGAAAAAATTGAGAATTTTTTCTACTTTTTTTCCATTATTCATTCATAATTTTTCAAAACTTCTGCATGATGCAGGACTTAATTGACAATTTCAGAAAAAAAACATCGTGATAAAGTTCGAACGATAGTACACCCGGGCCTTAAGCTCAAAATTTTCTTCTTTGATGAAACATTTTATCGACTTGTATGTCACGTTTTATTTTAATGTTAATATTATCTAGTGACGTTTTTAACATTCAAAAAACGCGGAACAACTGATCATGAATAATTCCATCATAACGTGAAAATCACACGATCGAGGGGAAAAATCTTGCAATTGAAATTTTTTCGAGACGTTTTTCTCACGAAAAATATTCACTCAACATTTTCTTGTCTTTTCTCCTGATAAAAATACGACGAATTCATCGTGTGGTCATTATGTACAGTCTTCATTTTTACTTTGTTTCGGTTAAAAAAATCTAATTTAGAAACGGAATAGATGGCCGGCGGAAAATTCAACATATTATTCCTCCTTAAGTTTTATTTAATCAATAATGGCAGTAACGGCGACAGACGCAGCAACAATGTATCTTATGAACTATTTAGTAACAATAATGTCGGTTTGCGAGGTGTACAAAGGGAGAGTTAAAAGTCCACTGGGAGAAAAAAAATATATTCTGAAATGAGTCTTATTTGAGGAAAAAAAGACAAGTTGAAAATGGGGTGGAGATTATTTTCTTTGAATATTTTAAAGTTTATGACATGGATGATTGGTCTACGTTGAAACAAATACTTGCCAGGGTGAGAATATCCCTCCTAAATGTTTTACAGTTTGGTAGAGACCACACGACAGATTCAACCATTTTCTATCATCAAATTCGTCAATTAAATGGCGTGAGAAAAAATTGAATTATTATTTTTTTAAACTTTCGTTGGTTATAAATAAATAATTGTAATTGTTTAAATTTTCGTAAATCATTTTTTAGTTATGAAATTGATTTCTGGAAAAATTTTGAATATGAATCAATTTTTGACGATTCCGAAAATACGATTTTTATGGTGGAAAATTGATTGTTTATAACTTATTTATAAAAAATGCTCGTCATTTTCAAAAATTGCAATTTTTTGATTATTTCATTCATTTTCCTCCAAAAGTAATCTTTCTATTTTGTTTCAGATTTTTTATATGTTTTCTAGCGGTTCAATATCGAGATTAAAGAATTCAGAATTTGGATATTTAATTGGTGATTAATTTAATAATTTAAAATTGATGAGTATTATTAATGATTAACTTCTTTAAAATTTAACTTTATTCAAAATTTATTTATAGAGAATGATCGTAATTTTCAAAAATGGCAATTTTTAAATTATTTCATTTATTTTCCTCCAAAAGTAATCTTTCTATTTTGTTTCAGATTTTTCAAATGTTTTCTAACGGTTCAATATCGAGATTAAATAATTCAGAATTTGGATATTTAATTGGTGATTAATTTAATAATTTAAAATTGATGAGTATTATTAATTATTAACTTCTTTAAAATTCAACTTTACAGAAAATTTATGTATAGAAAACGATCGTAATTTCCAAAAATGTTAATTTTTAAATTATTTCATCAATCTTCACCCACAAGTAAATTTTCCATTTTTTCTCAGATTTAAAAAATGTTTTCTAACGCTTCAATATCGAGATTCAAATTCAGACCTGCAAAGTTTAAATAATAAAATCATTGTAAAATGTCCGAAAACACAAAATGCAAAATACTTGGATATCCTAAAGAAATAATTTTTCCTCTGAGTATTGGACAGCCAAAAAAACAAAAAACTTTAATCCCCGGAACTCTTCGAATTACCAACACGATATTTTTCACTCTCGATAATTTTCAACTCGCAATTTTTTCCTTCAAAAAACGAAACTCCTTTCCGACCATTTTTTTCTCACCGTGAATTGAAGGAAGGTACGGGGAGTTCTCCTCTAAATAATGCAAAGCACAAGTACTTCATGAATCAATGGGAATTGCATGTTCTTCAGATTCCGCACGAGACCTTAATTAATTTAAAAAAATTATCGTTTGAACCCTACATAATCGTGTTCCTGGGCGTGATCAAATGATAAATAACTCACTCCTGTCAGAGGGCAGCCAAATTGGAACTGTCACCGTCCATCGTCTGTAAAACACGTGAAACACCGTCTCTTCTTTTTCTCTTTCGCTTTTTTAAACCATCAGTGGCATGCCAATAAATAACATTAACACCGAGTTCACGTATTCATGCGCCATTTAATGAATTGAACTAAAAATTGTCATGATGTAAACTAACTTAAACGCCAAAAAGGGCTTGTGTGTTTCTTTTTTTTTTTCGCTTTTTAATTCAACGACATTTATCTTTTACGCTGAGTGACTGGTGCAATTACGTGCTTATATTTAATCTATGTAATTGGTATGAGAGGAAATAATGACGATGATGATCAATGATGCTCAATTGGGTCGATATGTTGATGATAATTATTGCAACTCAGGCAGTTACAATGGCAGGCGTTTTCTCTTGACAAACGACAAAGGCCAACGCTATAATTATTCCTTCGTTATTTTATGTGTGTTCTATACAGTAATATGTGCGAGAAACACTCTCAGAGTGATGATGTGCGACTCAGAGTTGAATAAATAAAAGAGTAATTCCTCAATTTCATGCAGGAGTTGAATAATTTTCAGCTCTCGACAGCGAGAAAATGAAAATGTTTTGTTGGTGCTCATGAAGTCATGCAAATTCGCACTCTGTTGAGAGAGTTTCGAGGGAAATTTCAAGGAGCTGACGCTATTAGGTCATTCAAATGATGTCAGGCAACTGAAATAGCGACTAGAAATACAGAACAATACTTACAGTTGGATTTTGGGGCGCCAATGTGTGTTTACTCATGACAATGGTCGTTGTTTTAAGATCTTTTGTTCCACCAGGTGATTTTGGTGGCACGGGTATGTCAACTGGACTGTTCGGTTTGTTCACTAATGATTCAGCTGCCCGCACTACATCCAATACCTACGGAAATTTATTACTTTCTATTTTCTACTTCTAGGAAGAACCCAGTGCTTTTGCTAAGAAAATCCATTCAAGATATCCAGGTACTTTAGCTTTTTTTGATTAGGAAAATGCTTTTCTAATTTTGTTGTCGAATATCAGGGCTTTCATTTGAGCCCCATTTGGCCCTAAGTTTCCGGACGTTTTGCAATGATTTTATTATTTTGAACCATTAGAAAACATTTTAAAAATCAGAACAAAAATTAGACGTCTTTTGGATAAAGATTGATGAAATGATTTAAAAATTGCAGATTTTGAAAATTAAGAGCATTTTCCATCAGTAATTTATAAACAATCCATTTTCCGCCATAAAAATCATTGTATCCATTTTTAAAATTTTACCAAAAATCGATTTTATGCCTAAAAAATGAGTTTTCCGAAAGTTTAAACAGTGTCAATTATTTAATTATGCGCAACGAATGTTTAAAAAATAATAATTCTGCGCAAAATACAATGTGAATGGCGCTGAATATTCATGATTAAAAAAAAAATTCTCACGCAATTCAATTGACAAATTTGATGATTGAAAATGATATTCTTGAGTATTACACCAATAAATTGCGTGAACAAATGATTTTTATAGTAAAAAATTGTTTATAAATTATTTATATAAATTTGTAGAAATTTTCCAAATTCACAATTCTTAAATTATTTCATCAATTTTTCTCTAAAAGTAAATTTTCTCATTTTTTTTTCAAATTAAAGAAGTGTTTTCTAACGGTTCATTGTCGAGATTCAAATTCAGATCTTCAAAGTGTAAATAATAAAATCATTGTAAAATGGGGCTTAAATGAAAATGAAATGCTTTCTACAAAAGTAAAAAAGCATTTCACTGGAGAAAAAGTAGCCAAAGTACTTGGATATCCTCAAATTTCAATTGAATCACTATGAGAATTTTCTCGTCAATCCTATGATTTTTTTGCAAGTTCTATAGATGATTCTTCGACAAATATTCTATGAAGAAAAAATGAACAAACTTCAATTTTTCTGTATGACTTATTCTGAGATTTTTCCTACAGCTGAGGAAAATTACTGAAAAAGACAAGTAATCGAAAAAACCATTCTAGGTCTTTTTGACTCTATATCGAGGGAAAAACGACCATTTCCTGCGCGAAGAAATAACGAATAATATCTTCTAATATAATGAAGTAGAATCGATTTTTTAGCGAATGCACCAGATTTTCTATTCAATTTAATCATACGTGAATATTATGAATTTAATGCCTTTTAGTTAGCTATGAAAATCCCAATGACGTATCAACTACAGCAGGATTTCATGCTTTGAAAAATAACGAACGAATTCGGCTTCATTTCCTACCTTTTCTGGTGTAGATTTTTCACGATGCTCAATGAGTGCACGCTCACGATCCTCCTGTTCCCAGGCCACCATTTCCGCTTTCATTTCCTGCTCCTGACGCAGCGTCGCCGCCTCCTCGTCGTCCCTGTCAAGACTGGAGACACTCTGGGACAGCGATTTCAAACCGTCAATCGGCGATTCCTTCTGCTCTGTTTCAGAGACTCTCGACTCTTTCGAATCTCTACCCGAGAGCGTTAATAAATATTCTACTTCATTTTTGTCATAGCCCTTGCACACAACCAGTGTGATTGTATTTCCCGAACAGCGGAGAACATTCACTGCCTCCTGATGCGTCGCCCCAAGTAGAGATGTGCCGTTCACCTCTAGTAGCCTCATGCCGACCTGAAAAAATTTGTGACAATGTATTTATTAATTTTCTAATCTTACTGACCCGTGTAAATAAATAGTTTATTCATAGGGGAGGGTGAGGCAAAATAAAACAGCCAAAAAACGACTATTTGACACAATTCAAGCAAAAAATTTTTTTTTCAATTAATCCATTGACAAAATATTGTCCCGTCAAAATTTCGTAATAATTCAAAATAACAATAACCATAATAATAATAATAATAATAATAATAGAATTATTTAACAATTTCTCAGTAGAATAGAAAATTATTATTCTCATTACTACTCCGAAGAATAAAAGAAAGTTAATAAAGAAAGTGTTTAATAAGAAAAAAAATTTTTTGCTTAAATTGTGTCAAACAGTTGTTTTTCGATTGTTTCATTTTGCCCCACTGTCCCCTATAATAAAGGAATAAAGCATTCTTGAAATACAAAAATTTCATGAAAAATATTGAACGCATATTTTTCAATTTCTAAAAATTGTGAAAAATCAGTTTCAACCAATCGCTGAAGCATTTGAATTTCGACGTCACCACTAACTTATTAATTTTTTATTATTCATGAAAATGATAATAAAAGTGAAATCTTAGTTCAATGAGAGCACAATAAGAATAAGAAAAAAATACCTTTAGTCTGCCGTCTCTTTTAGCTGCACCACCTGAGTTGATTTTCGATATGAAAACACCCTCGTCGCTGTGATCCAATGGATTACCTCGTTGGCCACGCAATCCGCCCTTTATGTGCATGCCCAACTTCTCGCCAGGCTCTTTCACAATGGTGAGTTCCTAAAAATTTAATCATCATGATTTTCCAGTCTCACCGTTCTCTCCTCTCAAGGTAAAACGATGTTAAGAATGTTTATCCTTTTCTCCAAAAATTGATTTTTTTCACGTTTCAGAAGATTTATGTAGCTTTTCGAGAGGCTATTCACAGGCGCAATCGTGGTGTCACTCGCTAATGTAATCACATGATTACCATATTTGTAATCATGTTTTGGTAATCACGTGGTAATCATTTGTAATCACTTGTAATCAGTGTAGTCTTTCGTAGTCTCCTAGTGAGACCGTGAATTTTGTTTTTGAATTTATGATAATTCTTCATCATTTTTTATATTTAAAAAATGAGACAAAAGGTGACGACAAAAATGTGAACTTTTTTGAAAATTCACATTTTTAGATTTTATTGATTTTTTTGCTCCGAATTGGTAGAGACAATAATATTTTAGTATGATGCAAATTGAAGACCATGATATATCAATAAACTACAATTTTTTTGTTAAATTCTTTTGATCATTCATTTTACAAAAAATTAAAGAAATCGAAAGATTTGAATTTTAAAAAAATTCACATATTTTTTCGCCAATATATTATGTCTGCGGCAAAACTCAAATCAATCATATAAAAAATAAAATACCAAAGCTCTGCAACCGGCCCTTAGTGGATTTAAATTCTTTTCATTGTGCATCACAATTAATGTTTTGTGTTTGAAAAAAAAAATTAACAATTTTTTGAGGGCTTGTGATTTTGAATAAACATCCTTAATAGTAATAAAAATGGACATAACTATTGGCAGATGATAAGCATCATAGAACAGCGAAAAGCACAAGAAGCTGTGTGTCAACGAAAAGAATGGCTGAGACAAGAATTTCGTAACAGAAGAATAATAAAAAATGTAATAGATCAACAATTTTAGCATTTCAGTGATCTAATGATTGTCACCGGGGATGTAACAAAAATAATCTTTACTTTATTTTTACTTACTGTCACGGGGATGTACTCTATTTCGACCAGCTTGGATAGCAATGGAAAAAATAAGTGCCAATCTATCATTTTAACTTTAACAACATGATTAATTTCACTGTTTCCTCTCAAGAATCACGAGTAAACTTTGAATTTTCGAATCCCACGATTAGTTGGAAAAATAAATGTCAGAAAGAAGACTATTAGCGTGCGTTGATGAAGGCGTAAAGCTTGAGCAACTAATCACGGTGTTAAAAGCTGGAAATATTAATTACTGTGGTGTTCAAGTGTTGAGCACAAAATTATAATGATTCTTTGAACCTGATAGCTCTGCGGCAGTGGATCGTGCTGGACTGTGAGGACAATTGAGTCACCGGGCCTCAGTAACTCCATTACAGCTTCTTGATGTGTTGCTTTTGTTACATCAGTTCCATTTACTTTCAATATTCTGTCGCCCATGCGGAGTTTTCCTGATTTTGCTGCTATACCACCAGGTACCACCTAAAACGGACCATTAAAATTTAAGTGACCATTTCGCGGGGTAAATTGAGTTGTTGCATTAACTTTTCCATCGAAGACTATCATGAAATATGAAAATTGGGGGAAAATACTTGATACGTATTGACGTAGAAACGTTTTCTGTTTTTTTTTTAATTTGAAAAATTTATAATTCTAGAAAATTCGAGAAGATTCTGGGATTTTTTTTAACCGTTCGAATAAATTGAAACTGTCGGTGGAAAATTCATTTGGCTCTCTGTAGGCATTTTATAGGAATTCTATTGAAGGCTTGGAGAATTTGATTAAATTTTCCACTTTCTCTACCTTTTTCTATTGGAAATTGTGTAATTTTGCAGTGCATTTTTTTATAGATATTTAATCGAAAAAGTCAATGGTTATTTTTTATACAATTAATTCTGCTTAATTTTTTTCTATAAAAATACCTTCTTTTCAAAAATTTTTCAACGAGAAATTCTACAGAATAATGAAAAAATCAAGATGTATTGAAGACAATTATGAAATATAAAAAATGCTTCCATTCGAAAGCAAAAATGTTAAGTTGAATAAATCTTCTCATTGATTTAATTAAAGAACTCGCCTTCTTATCACAATATTCTCTCAATTTACACAACAAAATGTATTCCCACAATTGAATTATGAATCTCTTTGTATTATAACAATTAAAATCGACTTCTGGTGATTAAAATTTGGTGCTCAAATTAAGACCCCAAAGTTAAGGGTCACAAGAATCAAAATAAGGGTCATAAGGGTCTGAATAAGGTTCACGAGGGTCAGATTAAGGTTTACAGAGGTCAAAATAAGGTTCACGAGGATCAGATTAAGCCTCACGAGGGTCAAAATAAGGGTCACAAGGGTCAGATTAAAGGTTACAAGGGTGACATTAAGGGTCATAATGATCAGATTAAGGGTTACAAGGTTCAGAATATCTATCTGTTATTAGAAAAATCCAAATCGACTTCTGGTGATGAAAATTTTGTACTCGAAATTAGGACTCTAAAATTAAGGTTCGAAATAAGGGTCACAGGGGTCGGAATAAGGGTCCAAATAAGGGTCATGGGGATCAAATGGGAGTCATATGAAAGTTATGTGGGGTTGGCGAGCAGAGCGAGCAGAATGCGTAGCCCCTAATAATAGATGTAAAAAAATGTCAAAAATACTCACATGGGAAACAAAAATACCCGGCTCTGTTGATCCAAAGGGCGTACAAGAGTGATCAGTTCCACCGATGATACTGAATCCGAGAGACCCCTCTTTCAAGAGCACGACATCCTACAAAAGATACATTGTTTCATGGGAAGAACTCATAACCGAAAGTTGAGATAAGTAATGCAAGTAGTGATGGCCCATTTCAGGAGGAAAAGTATGAGGAGTATTCAAAGACCAGTGGGAGGAAGAAGGGTTCGTGTTACTTGTAGCTATTACGCTCTACGGCGAATCCTTTCGATCAGCTTGCGCAAACGTGTCATCTGCTGGACAGTGGCTTACTCACCTCAGTCGAAGTGCCATTGGTTAAATCTCGACGTGAATGAATACTGATTAGTTGCGACCACGAATATTGTATTGATGGGGGATATCCTTGGGGAATAGTAAGTGTAATGAACTTGGGCATTGGAAAATTACATTTCTTCACGTATGAAAGAATTAAATGAAGAATTTAACTATTTGATAGAAAATTTTGATTTTTGCCTTCGATTTCAGGTGAGGATTCTTGAGAATTAATTCAGAGAATTATTGCGAATTCATTGATGTGCCATTTAACCACTTCATAGGATAATTTTGATGCGTTCGCCCCCCAGATGAGTCAAATAATTAAATAAAAATGTGTTAAGTCCCAACTCTTAATTTTCTCTTCTAAAAAGCATTGAAATTTCGATATTTCCACAAATTATTTTTGTTCGAGTTATTGAATGGTTGCAAAAATATAAAATCTGCGTGAATATTTCAAGTATTGAGTCGAGAACATAAATTATTCCATTTTTCATATTAGAATTAAAATCCAAAAATGTCTATTACGGAAGAAAATCTCCCAGGGAAAAACAATTCGAAATTTCACTCGGAGGAAAAACTAAAAAACGCATTTTTGGATAAAAAAAAAACAAATGATAATTTCAATTTTTCACAATCCGATTCACCTCGGCAAGATCGACAAAGAGGAGTGAAAAAAATGTGTCAGCGTGAATTGCAGAAAGCATCTAATGATCGTAAAAAAAACTATCGAACTAAAAGAACTAATAGAAACGATAACCGCTCTACACCCACGGACGAAAAAATTCAATAGAAAAACCTATCAAATTCATTAGAAAATTCTATCAAATTCCTATTGAACTGTTCTATTAATTTTTGGCCGATTCTATTAAAATGTTCAATAGAAAATATTCAGTAGAAAAAGTCAATAGAATTCAATTTTTCTGCATAACTTACTCTATTGAGATATTTTCTATATAATTTCCTCAGCTCAAATTTTCCAAGTTTTTTCGTTTCATTTTCTTGATGAGAAGAAAAGAAAAATATAATGAAAAAAACTTGAGTCGAAAATTTGAGTCGAGCAAATTCTATAGAAAATATATGAAACTGTTGACTTTTTCTGTTGAACATGTCACCAGAATCAGCCAAAAACTGATAAAAAGTTTAATATAAATTCAATACAATTTTCTAACGAATTCGATAGGTATTTCTATGAAATTTTTTCGTGCGTGCCCCCAAGATAGTCCCCAAAACCGAATGTCTACGAGGTGAGACGTACCTCAATGATAACGGGTAGTACCAGATGATTGTCAGTGACACGTGTGACGACAGTCTCGGTGAGTGTGCTTTTAGTGATGACCTCGGTAACTTTACCGAGTGCAGTAGGCGCTGGTGGGAAATTAACATCACCGGGGAGATGATCAGGCTGCTTGATAGTAACAGTGACGACAGGGCCTTGCTGGGAGTCTGGCGAGGGCGAGGAGGTCGGAGGTCGTAGGAAGTGAGCGGGAATCATGGCCTGAAATTCCTCGTTGGTGATGGGCTTCGGTACCTGTATGTCTTCCTGCGGTGACGTTGCTCTGTCCCCAGGTGGTGGTGGCTGCTGCTGCTGGTGCTGCTGGTGCTGCTGTGGGACACTCTGCCTTGGGGCTGGCTGTGGATAAGGATTTGCTGTTCTCTGGGTGTCAGACAAGCCATTCATCTTAGGAACACCGTTCACTGGCTCGCCTTTGAGCCCCACTGGGGCTGGTACTGGCGCTGGGGGAGGTGTGTTTGACGTTGGACTTGGAGATAGGGCTTTGTCAGCGTCCATCGATCGACGATAGCCAGTGTAGCCTGGCCTGTTTGCCATGTAGCTGTTTGCTGAGTACAAACCAGTGTACGGCTTTGGCCCGCCTATTAGTCGGGGGGATTTTTCAGACGGGGTCAATTGCAGCGCTGGATTCGCCTGGGAAAAGGGTATCTCGCGCTCGACTACCAGTCGAACGAACCTTTCCAAGCCCGTCAACATTGCCACTGCCTGCTCGTGGCGCGCTCCCGACATTTCAACTCCGTTTATCTAAAATATTAAGGGAATTGTTAGGAGTGTGTGTGCTGGTCTTTCACTCTGAATGGGAGATTTTTATTCAACAAATTACGAAATGTGGAACCAAAGAAATACGATAAATAACGGAAAATAATAATGAATAATAACACCGACGTCGGTAAAAACGTTGTAATATTACTTCCAACAATTAAACGACCAATAATTATTAGACCCCGCAACAATTTGGATCGTAATATTATTTAGCGTAATATTATGGCGTAATATTTTTTACCGTAACATTTAGATTGGATACCCCAAGTGTCTTTCACAGTTTGATTGAGACCATACTATGGGTTCAGGTATTTTTAAGCATCGATTTGTCAATTATATTGCGTGTGAAAAATAGGAAAAAATTAGGAATCTTCAGCGCCATTCAAATTACATTTTGCACAGAATTATTATTTTTTTCAACATTGGTTGTTAACAAATGTTGAATGTGAATGAATTTGTTACGATTCTGAACAAATGATTTTTGTGGTTGAAAATTGATTGTTTATAAATTATTTATAGACAATGACAATAATTTGCAAAAATGCCAATTTTTTGGAGGAATTTCATGAATTTTTTCCCAGAAAGTAATGTTTTTATTTTTTTTCAGATTTTTGAAATGTTTCCTAACGGTTCAATATCGAGATTCAAATTCAGACCTGTAAAGTTTAAATAATAATATCATTGGCAAAATTAGACTCAACAATTCAACAATTTTTTTAATCGTCAATTTGTCAATTAAATCGCGTGACAAAAAATTGAAAGAAATCATGAATATTCATGGTTGAAATTGTTTAAACTTTGGGAAATCTAATTTTTTTAGGCATTAAATCGATTTCTGGTAAAGTTCTGAATATGAATAAATTTGTTACGATTCCGAACAAATGATTTGTATTGTGGAAAATTGATTATTTATGAATTATTTATAGCAATGCTTGTAATTTACAAAAATTGTTAATTTTCCACTTGTTTCTTTGCTCATTAAAAATCACTCACCGATATCACTTTGTCGCCTACGAGTAGTTTTCCGTCTTTCTGGGCTACCCCACCGTCAGTTATCCTTGAAATGAAGATGGCCTGAAACATGCGTTAACATTTTGAATCTTTGAAAATGTAAATTCGACTAATCGAGAAGGTAATCACTCATGAAATCCGCTCAGAGATGCCCTGAGAGAAAAAAGAAATATTTTCTCAAACAAGTCTTGTTTGAATTGGAAAAATCGCAAGTTAAAAATTACCAAAAAAATAAAATCTAGTGGTGACCATTTGAAGACTGCATTTAGATGATAAATTTTCGTTGCGAAAATAGATTTAGTTCTATAGATTTCTATTGAAATGTTCAATAGAAATTTTTCTACAAATCCTATTTTATTGAGATATTTTTGTCAGAAATTCTGCAAAATTTTAAAATTTCTTCAAATTTTCCAAGTTTTTTTGGTTTGATTTTCGTGATGAAAAGAAAAGACAAATAGAATGATCAAAATTTAGAAAATTTGAGCCAAGAAAATTCTATAGAAACTATTGCAATAGGATAAATTATATAGAAAAACGAATTCTGTTGACGGTTTCTATTGGACATTTCAATAAAATCGGTCAAAAACGATAAATGTCTAAAAATTCGATAGTCCCTAGAAATTGAAAAAAAAAATTTGTAATTTTCAAAATTTTAGAATCGTGAAATAACGTAGAAACTTTTTGGGAGTGATTACCCTCTCCGAACAACTGGAAATTCATTCTTCTTGTGTTTGTCCTACAATAGTTGTGTTCGCTATTGTAATTGGACTTGACATTTATAAAATATGGGTTCTTTGCATGTTATTTGATAACGCATATCCAAATTCAACTCAACAAATGCGAATTTTTAAGAGTTTCATGCGATAATTACGTTCAACTCCACGAAAAAACAGAATAAACTGTTGAAATACTTGGTTTCACACACGAAGAAACGGTATCATATTACCTATAAACATTGATTAAATGTCTTTCATCTGTAACGGCTGCAGTGAATTAGAGAAAATTGAAAATAGTAAACTTACATCTGTATTATCTTTAGCTGGCTGTGAGCCTTTTCCCCCAGCGATACTGAATCCCAAGCCATTTTGATCCCGAATTAAGGTTGTGTGAACGAGAACTGGTACTAATGGCTCCTCTGTTCTCATTGTCGGTAAGGGCTCTGGGATTTTCTTCACCTGCGAAAAGAGAATGCTCGTTTCAACTAATCCTCTTGTCATTTCAAATATCGTCAGAGGAAAAAATTTCATATATGAACCCAGCGAATTGGGTATAAAATTCTATTGGATTTCTGTTGGAAATTCTATTTCTTTTCCACCGATTCTACCGACAAATTTCACCGCTTTGCTGCGGCGTTTTTTCTATTGAAAATGTCCAACAGGAACTATTGTATGGACAAATTAATTAATAAAAAAAATTGATGAAGAAATCAATAAAATATTTGAACTTTATGGAATTTTTTCTATTTAGACATTTTCTACAGAATTCCCTCTTCATAAATTTTTAGAGATTTTTCTACTCAATTTTTCTTCTCCTTTCATTAAAAAACTTGAACGAAATATTTAAAAAATTTGAGTTCAGGAATTTCTACAGAAAACTTCGGAGTTTTTTCTATTGAAAATGACCAACAGGAACTATTGTATGGAAAAGTTGATTAATAAAAATATTGAAGAAAAAAACAAAAAATTTTTTGAAATTATTTTTTTGAGACATTTATTGTAAAAATTCCCCGATTTAAATTCTTTGAGATTTTTCTACTCAATTTTTCTTCTCCTTTCATCAAAGAACTTAAACGGAATACTTAAAAAAATTGAGTACAGGAATTTCTACAGAAAATTACTGAACCCAAAAAATTTCAAAAAATTTACTGATTTCTTCTTCAATATTTTTATCAAGTAATTACATTTTTTCAACTGCAGACAAGCAGCCGAATTTTTCAATTGAATCGGCGAAGAAGTGATAGAATAATTCCGTGGAATTTTTTCCTACGTGATTACAATCATTCAACTGATAAATTTCGTCTTACTTTATTCGCATCACGAGGGAGGCTATCGCCATTCTCAAGATTATGTGACATTGCTGTTGATGAAACATACGATGTAGCACTCGGTGCGCGACTTGTACTTAAGCTCGAGCACAATGAGTCTTTCCTCGTTGATAGCTAATATCAATTAATGAAAGCACAATTATTACATTTACCCCATAAACTTCGTCATCTGAAAAAAGGATCAATCTCCCGGAATTGTCACGAATATTTACCTCTGATGGTGGCACTATCCGCGTAACTTCTCTGAGAATAACAAGTATGAGTACACGACCACATGCCTTCAAAACTTCAACTGCATCATAGTGGTCTACGTCAACTACTGAAACTCCATTTACCGAGATAACTTTGTCACCTACTCGTAAACCAGCTAAATCTGCTGGGCCACCTGATGTCAACAAAGGAAAACATGGATTCAATGGGAAGACATAAAAGTTAATTAAAAAATTTCAAGCGTGGTTAATTGTTGCCCCAGAATGTTTGAACAATATGAAATGCAGTGGTTCAGGCCATTTTAACACCAGCACAACATTTCCTCCATAAAATGACGTTTTGCACACGAGGCAACTTCATATTTCCCATTTTTTTCATTTTTTAAAAATTGAAATTGTGTAGACAAGGACTTAATGCAGAACATCAAACGTATCGAAAAATTAAGGGACTCGGGATTGGGTATTATAAGCCATTTAGCCAAATATACCAGTGAATTTAATTAACGATATCCAAGTACTTTGGCTTTTTTGCTTCTGAATGAAAGCTTTGTAATCGTTGAAATTCAAGTTTTGGATTTTTTGTTATATCGACCCAGTGTGATACGTATGTATCAAAGTTTTTCTCCAATTGTTCGCTAATGAATGGATGGAATTGACTCTTTCTTTTCAAATGTAGGTATTTTGAGCTCTATCAATCCCCATTAATTAAAATTTAATTCATCGATTAGTTTTTTAATTTCCAAATTTTTTCGAAAACCGGTTGTCTCACGATAATTGAAAAAATGTTCTGAATTGATTGAATGATGGCTTTGAAAAATTGTTTGGATATCCTTCTGACCGAGTTCGAAGATGAAGGCGATAGCAATAATCGCTATTTTGATTTATTTGAAAATTTGAGAAAATTTTGTATTTTTTGAAAATCAGAATCCCGGGGATATCTTTGAATATCATGCTTCAAATGAATTCAATCATAGCTCAAAATGTTTGTTTTAATGCCATTAAGTCGAAGTTAAAAGATGATTACGATAGCTATATTGGTTGATTTGATTTTTATGATGATTATCGAAAATTTCGAATTTTTCATGAATTTCCCTGAAAGTGAGCTTTCTGATGGTTTCTTCAAATGTCATGTTTCAAATTCATTCAAGTATGTATAAATAAAAATTTTCTATTAACATTTCAGTAGTGAAGCGGTAAGCCGAGTTAAGTCGATTTTGACTATTAGCCAGTTTTTGTTGAATATCTCGGAATCTAAGAGAGATATCAAAATTTTTCTCATGACTTTTTTTATAACGCTCTATTAGTTCTACAAAAAAGGTCCTGACAAAAATCTTTCTATCTCTTTTAGATTCCGAGATATTCGTCAAAAACTAGCCAATAGTAAAAAACGACTTGACACGGTTTACCGCTTCGCTACTGATTTTATCGAAGGGCTGAAGGGAGAGATAGAACCGTAAAAAAGACAATCGGTTGTATAAAAGAAAGGGATAATAAGAATAATGATGATGATAACATTCAACTAACTTGAAACTCTGACAAAATTAGTTGAAAAGAAATCTTATTCAATTTAATAAAATGAAATAAACAATGAATTACACATGACAGAAGGAAATGATGTGCAAAATACAAGAGCAATTTCCCACGTATTTTTCAAAGTTTTTTTGAGACTCCAAGGCTATGTAAAACCGAATGGCAATTGGAAAACATTTCAGATCATCAAGATAAAAAAAACAATCAAGTTCGAAAAATAATACACGCGGGTCTTAAATGGAATAAACAATAAACTATGCAAATCAACTTACCTTCAGTCACTCTTGAAATGAAAATTCCTTCGTCGTCACCTTTGAACGGCGTCGATCCAATGCCCCCAGCTATCGACAATCCCAAGCCTCCAGTTGTCCTTTCTATATGAATTTCATACTGCTCTTCGCGTACCTCCAACGTCGGTTCAACGTCTGACGTAGCCCCTTCTTTAAAATAAAAAAAAATCAAAAACTTGAAATACTGACAGGACAAATCACTTCATTCAACATGATCATCATCAACTGAATTCAGCTATCGTAACTAATTAATCCTCTGCGTTTCACCTCTCCCTGTCCTCGTCTTTCTCTTCCTCACAAAAAGTCTAAATCTTCTCGACATTTTAAGAATAGAAAAGTCCCTCGGAAAAATGACTATCGAGGCTTCAATGATATTCTACAAAACCGAATACAATCGCGATGAATGCAAAGACGTACTATAGAAGGCTGGCGGTGCCATTATGGATTGGAGATAATGCATCAGTGATAAGGTATGAGTAAGGTAATCGTATCTTATCATCTCCCCTTTTAAAGTGAACTCAATGAAAACAAAAAATGTGGGTTAGCAGTTCATTTTATCAAGTGAACATCCGCACCAAGCCCTAATATCACAACAGTTTAATTATGAAATTGTATTTTAAACCTCCGCAGGACTTACCTTGACTGTGCATATCGTAATTATCGACGGATTCTATTGGAAGACTGACTGAAGCCGACGTATCCTCACTTTTCTTCATCAGTGCCTGCGCAAAAATAAATGATCAATTTCTTCATCACGCTGACACCCCATTCAGCACGAAAATTAATATATGCACAAGGGTGAATCGTCCAGTGATGTTCGAATAACAGATTCGAGAAAACAGGGACCATTTTTTTTAAACTTAAGGGGAGACTACTGTGAGTTTTAAAAGTCGTGGGTTATTCGAGTGAGACTTTTTATACGTTGAAGATCGATTATATATATAATCCACCCGGGACTTAACGAGAGAAGAAATTCTTAGTTTTTAGAAAAAATGGGAACATTATTTTATTTTAGGAAAGAGGTTCACGAATTTTCTGAACCTTTCCGTTTCCTGAATCCTATTCATTCGAAACCTGGCCGATTCACCCCAATCAACGAGTTTTATAAACGTGATAAAGTTGGTATAACAATAAAACTCCACCTAAATAACTTCACATCCATATAAACAGAAAACGAAGCCTGAAAAATCCTTTGTCTACAGAGGTATTCTTTACAGAACCTGAGTGAATGGTGATTGAGTAAGCGATTCTCACTGATGAGCCATAAAGAAAAAAAAAATGTAAAACACTTTTTCCAGCGTAACAATCTCTGAAACAATTGAGTCGTGAAACAATTTCTGCCGGATGAATAGCCCATTTTCCGTAAAAACAATAACCACCAGTGAACGAACAAAAAAACAGTGATGTTATTCACAGAAATAACGAATCATTACGAGAAGATGAAAAATTACGACGACGAAATATCAGAAGAAAATCTAAAGATGATGCAAAGCATGAAAAAAAAGAACAGAGACCATTGATAAAAGCTACATTAGTGGTGATTAAAAGTACTCAAGGTATCCAAAAGACACGGCATTTAGTGACTACGCACATTCCCAAATGTTACATTTGCTCTAAAAGAACAACAACCAGAACCTCATAAGCATTAATTAGTAACACTAACAAAAATAACGATGTTATTAACAAAAACAAGTGCCACTTATTACTCGAGTGTTCACCGATTGCCAGGCATCGATCCATTGAAACAACTAATTCCTCCAATGCAATGAAAATTTTCAAAAAAAAACTCCCTCCGAGAATAAAACAAAATGATGGAATCGCTCATATGCTTTACCAAATGGCTGACCTGTGCGATGATTGAAGCAACTTTATCCTTGTCAATCGAGTCATGTACTCGCTTGTTTTTCAGATGGTGAGGGGTGTCACGGCGATGCAGCCTGTTTGGCTTACCCGTTTCACCCCCAACCTCACAATCTGCCTCTTCGGATATCGTAAATTCAACGTGTCTCTGCGTATCGTCACACTGAGAATCATCGTCATCCCTACCCCGGAATTCCGACACCGATCCCTTCATCTCAGCATCCTGAAACAGGATTTCCATTTTTTCCCCGGTGGTGCTTTCTTCTCTTTCTTCCTCAAGCTTATTTATTCCCTTATCATCAGTTCTTCTTTGATCAAATTCATTTCCCTGACTCATCACCAATTGTACTTTGCACGAAGAGAAAAATCGTCATGATATCACCAAAATCATTTCAGTAGCGAAGCGGTAAAAACCGGTTTAAGTCGACTCAGCCCTCAGCGGAGATTTCGAGGAATAGCTCCGAATCTAAGGAAGATAGCGAAATTTTCGTAATCACCTTTTGTGTGGAGCGAATTGAGGGCTATCAAAAAGGTTATAATAAAAAATTTGCTATCCCCCTTGGATTTTGAGATATTCATTGAAAACTGGGCAACAGTTAAAATCGACATAAACCGGTTTACCGCTTCGCTACTGATTTCTTGAGCGAAAAACATCGCATAAGTATTTGAGCAATTTATGGTAGGTTTCAGACAAGAAATCGATGCTCTTCGGGCTAAGGAGGAAGTTACGGAATGAAAAGATGATGTTTTTCTCCGAAATGAGATAATATTCCTTTAAACAGAAGAATAGTTTGACAGAAGGAAAAAAAGATAGTTTCCCTTCGAACTTGAGGCGATTGAGCGTAAGCGACGGTTGTATTTTTTAATATCTAGAAGAGGTTTTCTCGGCATAAACTCTCTATTCATTCAATATGAAATTCTCTGATTCATGATTCACTAAATCGAAGCTTTTAATATTTTTAGTCATTTTCTCATCTTCTGATACGAAAAAAAACCGATTTCTTGTGGCAAGAAATTCTCATTTTATCATGAAATGTTGACGTTCAAGTCACACTTCATCAAAATCTGACATTGTCGGACACATTATCCGGAATTCTTATCCGAAGAAATTTATCCTCAAGACAGTAGCGAAGCGGTAAAGCGGAATAATCCGTTTTATTTCGTTCCGAGAAAGGCATTAAATGTGGACGTCCGCATGAAAAGGGACCACTTTGTCGATATGGTGTTATGTATACTCTGATAATATTGATTAAATTCCGCACATTTTGAGCCCAAAATGATCTTCATAGGGTCAAAAATGACGTCATTGGAGAAGATGGAAAAAACACCTTAACATTGGTGTAAATGGGAGTTGCTGACACAAAAACGTGAATATCTCGGAAACTAGAATCGACAAAGTGGTCCCATTTCATGTGGACGTCCACAAATATATTTTGAAGCTAAAATCGTTCATGCGGCGGATGCATCATACCCTCAACAGTCGATTTCAGTGAAAAACTCATTTTCGAAAAATCGGCTCAACCCAGTTTACCGCTTCGCTACTGAGGAGATGAGATATTTGGCGCAAGAAGTTCGTTTTGTGATACTACGACGATATTTCTTTCAGTGTAGGAATCTCCAAAAACATCCTGATTAATTCCCGAGCCTACAAGACCCTTTCATGATGGCTGAACCCCTAACTACTTAGACAATGTTTCAAAATTCTAGAATTTTCTATCATCATCGTCCAAGAGTCGACGTCAACACAAATTGCATCGCAGTAAGTCGTGTCCCCTAAGTGACACGCTAATTTCAATACTGTTTGAAATTTCATAAGCCTCCTTCAAACCCGAAATCGCTTGTGGCCCTCAAATGATTCACGAGAATGCACCGCCATTACTCGACTTGTTTCAGTGAGAAACTAGTCATTTCGTTGATTGTTATAAACGTTATTTATATCCATGAAACTTACTGATGTGTGGAATTGTGGCTCTGGCGTCGGTTGAGAAGGCGTTTGATCTCTCTCATCAGGTATCTGCTCCACTGAGCCATCGTTCACCGTTTCCGTTTGACAGGCCGTAACTTCCTCGTGCGTAGTATTATGATATGCTGGCTCTGGCTGTTCCACCATATCCTGAGACTCCTCGTGCGAATTGTCAAACTCAGTTTTATCAAGACCAAATGTTTGCGACACGTCCTAGCGAGTTTGAAGTTTGAAATTTTCAATGAACATTGATTGGACATGCGACAGTGGTTAATGAAGTTTGTTTGAGTAGATTTTCGAGTTTGGAAATTCAATTTGAAAGTACCTGCTCGTCGGTGGAGCCTGATCTGCTGTCGTTCTTTCCTTTGCTGAATAATTTGTGGGCTTTTGCCTTCAGCTCCTTTGGGTGGGGAGTGTTTTGCCTCACGAAGGGGGTCTGAAAAGAAAAACATACTGTCAGGCGTGGACAGGGGGCAGAGCAATCCTCACTAATTGTTGCTGAGAACAATGAGATTTTAGGGTACTTACGGTGTGGTATGCACTTTCAACCAATATAAATATACTACTTTCAAAAGTTCAGTATTAGTAGAAATAAAAGAGGGGTAGAAAAATTAAAAGCAAAGTTAGGGGTGGAAAATTTAATGATTAGTTGAGAAAATTCGTTTCTGAGAAAATAAAATAACAATAAAATTAAGGATGTTCGACACCCTTTTAGCCAAAATTTACGTTGTTTTCATTTTTCTAGCAAATTATCGATGGGAGTGACGTGAAAAAATATAACGATTTTGTCGTTTGTCATTCTTTAATGGCTCACGAAGTTGCGTAGTGGTGCGATAATTTTCATGCGTTTTTTCTACAGTTTTGTGATTCTTTTTAAAAGTTTAGAGAAAACGCAGGAAAATGTTCGCATCACCTTAAAATTTCGTCAGTCATTAGATAATGACAAAACGCAAAAACGTTATATTGTTTCACGTCAATTCCATCATAAGTTTGCTAGAAAAATTTTAAAAACGTCAATTTTGCCAGAAAGGGTGTAGAACATCCTTAAATATATACATAAAATTTTGCAAGGTTTTATCAAATGCAACTGTAGTGGAGAGTTGGATAAGAATTTCCCACATTGTGTCTTCAAGATTTATTTTTTACAAGTTTTCTTTGTTCTCTGGGGGAAAGTGGGGTAAATGAAATAGAGAAAAAAAATTATTTTTATCAACTTGTTTTTATTATTGGGAGTACTGATGAGAATACCAATTTTCCATTCAATAGAATGAAAAATTATTGAGTAGTTTTGACGGGAGATCTTGTCAATGGATTAATTAAGAAGAAAATGAAACAGCAAAATTCAAAGTCCAGAGGAAGGCCCTGGGGGAGAGCCAGAGGGGGAAAAAGGAAAATGTGATGCCGAATTTCAATGGAATGAAAAAAGAAAAGTGTAATCGCCCTAATCTAATCAATTGAATTACAGATGAAATATTTCATATTACTTGAAAAGAGAGCTGTGGATAAAATTAGTGAAAATTATTAATATTGTCGTCTCGATATAAGAAATATATGAAAAACCTTCGGGAGTTTCGAATGAGGAGAGAACATAGACTCAGCGATGACGAGGTCTTAGTTTGGCTGCTGGAGAGTTAGGGGACAAGCTGACTAGTGGACGTTGAGATCGAGATCTAACAGGGGAGTGGGATTCATCTGTGGAGGTAGTCGATACGCTATACAGGGGTTTCGAATATCAGTGATTTTTTCGCACCGCATGTTCTTTTCTACCGAATAGAAAATTATTATTCTCATCAGTACTCCCAATAATAAAAAGAGTTGATAAAAAAAAATTGTTTTGCACTGTATCATGTGGCCCCACTCTCCCCTAACTCTACACTCATATTATCAATTTTCGAATCTGCCTGTTCCATGCAACAAATGCAGTGAAAGAAGCTACAACAACGTGATTGTGAATAGGCTGAGGAAGTTGGTAGAAGCAGATTGCTCACCTCCTTGTCCGCCTCAGGTGCATCATCAGTAAATTTGACAGAGTGCGTTCTCGACGCCTCCTTCTCCTGCCAATTTTCATCGTCACTGCTGCCTAATTCTCGCATTTCACCGCCTGGAACGACTCCCCTTATGCCAGCCAGCATTCCAAGGCGTCCCGGTTCTGCGAAACAGAAAATGTAAAATTGAGGAGTGAAATAGCAGCAAATTGAATAATCGTTTTTCCCATTCTGTTTGGGTAGAGAGCTCTGGTGAAGATGTAAAATAAATACCATGTGGACCGCTGGTATGATACTCCAATTGAGGCAAGAGGAAACACGTCAATACCTCTTGGCCAGTCTCCTCATCTACATCTGTTTGGAAAGTCAACATTGGTTGTGCCTGATTTTCACTCAACCATACTGCTTTTAAATTCAAATTGATCAATGTGTATGGCAAATACTGCAATCTGAAAAATAATAATTTCATGATTTCCGGGTTGGTTTTCAGAGATCTTACAGATCGGGATGTAAAATCCAATGAAAATAGTGATATATTTGAGATCATGAAGATGGAAAGACAATCGAGTCGAAAAATAATCCATCCAGACCTTAAAATCATCACAAATAAAACTGTAGTAATTAAAAGAACGTGAGTCGATATGTCGTAGTTGAAATAAGATACATTGAAATGTCGCAGTTGAAATGCTGTAGTTGAACGTCACGATGGAAATGTCATCTAGTTGAAAAAAAAAACGTACCACCCCTATACCTCGAACAGACAATGAGCTGGGGGTTCTAATTTTGCTCATTGTCTTTATCCCGTTGTATTCCCACACAAAAAAAACGATAAGGGAAGGTCAACCCCTGGTTAGCGTATTTGACCCCCTTTTTATATACAGTTTTATGAGGAGATGTCGATGTACAGAACAGTATATATAAAAATCAAAATAAAATAAAAAATTAAAAAATGAAATAGAACGCAAAAAGTAAAAGAGAAACGAAGAAGATGGAGAGGATTATGCCGATTCCGAATGAATCATTCAACAATTAAATTCTCATTGTGAAAAACTTTGTCGACACCATTCATGTTTCCCGTCATTATTATTGAGATAAAAATTAATGAAAGTGAGAAACGATAAGGTTTTACTATTTTAGCACCCATGGAAAAAAGACAGGGCGAGCCCTGTCCTAGTTTATAAAAAAATTCAAAATTTTGAGATAAAATTCTAGCAATTACCTATTTCCAGAGACATCGAGCACGTGTAATGCTGTGCACTGACCAACTTCCGGCGGGAGGTACTGAAGTTTGTTGTCCCGAAGAGATAAAACCCCTAAATTCGTTAAATTACCTGGAGAGTAAAGAAAAAATTGTCATTCCACTAACTCGCAAATCTGTGATTCGTACAAAGAAAAATATAAATAATTTTTACTTACCTATTTCAGTCGGCAATGACTGCAAACTGTTGCGATCCACATTTAAGTTATTCAAATTCAATAAATTTCCAATGGAAATTGGTAATTCAAATAAAAAATTTTCTGTTAGAATAAGCTCCTGCATATTTTCACAATTACCAATACAAGAATTCAATACTGATAGCCTATTTTGATCGACTTTTAATATCGTCAATTTTCTAAGCTCTCCAAGACCATCTGGTAATTTTTCGATTACATTCTGGGATAAATGTAAATCGGTTAGTGATTCAAGACCCCCTATTTCTTCCGGCAAATCCTCGAGACGATTTTCGGATACGTCCAGACACGCCAGAGTCTTCAATTCACCTATTTCGGGTGGCAAGTGTTGAAGTTGATTGTGATCTAGCCACAGCTCTTGGAGGGCTGGTAATTTGCCTATGTGCGGTGGCTACAAAAAATAGGACGTCCAGGGATCAATATAATATCAGTGCTTGTGGTGCACTGGAGAGTGAATTTATCGATGAGATAATTACCAATTCCTCGATTTCATTGTCACCCAAATCGAGCCTTTCTAATTTCGATAGTTGCGAGAGAGATTCAGGCAAGGACTTTATCAGATTCTCTCTCAATTCGAGGGACTGTAGTGCTTCTAAACTGTAAGTCATGTTAATTGAGAATTTTCGTATGATCGAAATTAAATGGAGGTGGATTTAGTGAGTATTAACTAGAAAAAAAACTTAGTTTGAGAATTGAAAATTTCTATTTTAGCGTGCTGAAAGTCTTAACTTGAAACTTTCAAATGTGAAGTTGAGACATTCGAAAGTCTTCAATTGAGACTTTCGAAAATGTCAAGTTGAGAGTTTCAAAACGCAATTAATGATGTTCAAGTTGCAATTTAAGATTATCGAAAGTCTTAATTCAGACTTTCATAAGTCTCAATTTGAGATCGTAAGTCTCAAATTGAAATTTGTTCTTTTGAGTGATGATATTACTATATTAGGTTTACCTTCCAAAGTCTGGGGGTAAATTCGTAAGAGACATATCATTGAGGCCAAGAACTGTAAGGTTTCGCAGTTTCACGAAACCCGCTGGTAGCCTGTAAAATCATTCAAGTTTGTCGTCATATTCACGAACACAGAAGCAATATTTGTTAGAAAACCATTGAAAATTGACAAGATTTTCTTTTCCACACGCAGAATTAATATTTTTATTTCACATATTGTCATCTTAAAATGCTGTCCCACAGGCAATATCGTGAAGCAGATTTCGCAATTAATTTGAATTCAATAGTGAATTTTGAAGAACGAGAATCTTTATTAATAAATAATGGAAATTCTTTAGAACTTCCGGTGAATTCTGTTTTCCACGAATTGATAATTGATTGGTCATTCATTATTCATTAAAGACGAATTCTGAACATTAATGTCCCACGAATAAACGAATTTCTCAATAACTCCTTATCGGAAAGCATATTTTTAAGTCCCTCATACATAAAGAAAGATTTCCTTTCGTTTGTTCCTCCTAAAATGTTCATAAATAATGGAGGACTGCAGTGGTAACAGTCGAATTTTGATCGGGCAACATCGCACGCTTCGGCTAGTAGTGGGGTTGTAACAGTGAGATGAATGTTTGTGTGTGTTATACGTGTTCATATGCTTCCAGCACTGAATTAAAATTTTTTTTAGAGGAATTCGAAAATCAATCGAAGATATCACGCCTATATGGCCCGGTCCCCTACTTGTTCTCGCCGGCGATAGATTCTCCATAGTCTAAAGTAAATGGCTTGTGGTTTTCTTTCAATATCTTGAGTGTCTAACCCATGCAACATCTCGATCAAAGTTCACACGGTCACGTTTCTCCCCTAAGCGTAATGTTACAAGAAGTGATTATCAGAAATTCATTTCTCACTAGGATGGCCCGATGGAAGGCTTAAGATTATTACTAACGTGTGGCTCAAATATGAACCTGGAATATGAGACAATATCAAAATTATGGTGAATAATGTGGGTTTTGGCTAAACATCCTTAATAGAGAAGCAATTTTAAAAAAATCGCAGAAATTTTCCATCGAATACTTCTGGTACTCGAAAAAACGGTGTGATTCCCCCTTGATGAACCGCAAAGCAAACGTTTTCTCTCGATTCCCAGTCACCTGGCGAACAATCAGGTTCCCCATACCCACGTCAGGTTTAAAAATAGTTTACCCATAAGATTACGAATGATAAATCGACGTACGATTCTCATACTGCGGTGCATGCATGCATACGATTCAGACGTTTCCTCTCACTTAACATTATTCCAACGATATACAACTGCATCTAATCTCAAAATGATAGTTCACTACTGAATAATCCATAAGATTATCGACTGTTGTTTCGTAAACACTGACCTGGGTATTGGATTACTGCTGAAATCCGCCACCTGTAGGGCGCGTAAATTTCTGATGTTCTCAGGAATGTCTGGTATGTCTGGAAAGAAAAATATAAAAAAACATTATTGAACTGAAGGACGGTCAATTATTGTGGTAGTGATGTAACCAGCATTGAGACGCACTCTTGCGCACGGAAATAATGACAAACACCTGGTTGTTACTCTCGCGTAGTTTTTCATCGTTCAATGTCGAAAAGGCGTAAACAATTGTATTTCCATCTGTGAATGTTAGCGTTGTGAAGCTGTCGTTATTTTTCAACACGGAGTAGTTAAATATTTCTGGTGCAATGAGGGGAGGACAAAATTGAATAAGTATATGTTGTTTGTGTTAAACAAAATAACTTGTACTCTTTTGATGATTACGAATTGCTTCACTTGAGGAGAAAGTTACTGAGGATGCACTTTTCAGTTCAATTATTATGTGAAAATTCAGAAAAATCAGGAAAATTCAGGGGAGAATTGACAATTCATGTCATTTTGTTTCTGAGTATTTATGTTCCACTGAAAATTCATCAAGTTGTGAAATTTCCATCTCACTGCCACTGAAATCTCATGAATTTCCGTGAATTCTACTTAAAACTTGAAATTTCATAACCATTTTTTCCCTAAATCCGATTCAATGTCATTTTCATGAGATTTACTGTAATATTTTCCATGAAATTAAGAAAAATTTCTAACAGTGTGAATTTTTTTACAAAAACATTTCGTAATATTCAATGAAATTGCAATCTTCAGATCCACATGACAATGAATATTACTAAAAATTGTGAAATTTCAGGCAACTGATGTTTCGAAGTTTACTTTATTGAAAATTCGATTGAATGTAATGTTTGATTTTCATAATGAGGTTGAGAATCAAGCTGTCAATGAAATATCAATTATGGCTCACCATCACGAAGACATTGATTTAGTTAAATTTTCAAGACCAATAGAAAATTTCATGAACGTATTGATCATAAATTGAATTCCAATCCCCAACATTGAAAATTTGAAAACACATTCCTTAAATTCGACAAAATTTCCAAACAGAAGTCACAAGATAATGCTCTAGTGACCTCGAGACCTTGCATTCTACAAATCATTTTCTATTCCATGGAGACTCAGTAATCATCAGCTTGCGAATTTTTTGCTGGAAGTAAGACTCGTCTAGGAATATTTTTCACTTTTTTTTTTATCAATGAATGCTTGTATTCCCATAATCTCAGGGAAAAATACTGACAACACACAGTTTAGAGAATCCGCGGTCATCACTATTGGTCAATTTTCTATTAGCAATGTGATGAATTCGTGATGAACCGAATCCTAAGAGAAGCTTATGTTTTTTCCAATAAATAAAATCAATCTCACGCATGTACGAACAGTATGAACGATTGGAATGTCTAAAGGTTTGAAATTGAATGTGGTCTCTGCCATATGCAGTAACACAGATAGTTGTCCCTGATCCCACCTTATAGGTCGCGACGGAACACTTTCATCGGAGCTGCTCGCGGGAAGATACCCGCATCCATAGTTCGATAACAGTTTCGTCCGATCCGCACTATAATTTGGATATTTTCAACATCTTTTCATCAGTATAATCCAAATTACATTTTGCAACATATTAGTATCTTTTAGACAGCTTCTTTTCTTAAATCAGTAGCGAAGTGGTAAAATGGTTCAAATAGACTTGTCTCCCAGTTGAGTTTTTGACGAATATTTCCGAATCTAAGGGAGATAGCCAAATTTTTGTAATTACCTTTTTCGTAGCTCTAAATTCGCGCTCGAAAAAAGGTTATAATAAAAATTTTGTTATCTCCCTTAGATTCCGAGATATTCATGGAAAACTGACCAATAGTCAAGATTAACTTGTACCGTTTTACCACCTCGCTACTGAAATAAATAAGGGAACTTGCTTCAGAACAGAGAATTACTGCTTGAATGCACAAAGCTCCTGGAAATTTCAACTCCAACGATTCCATTGTCAACGAAAACGCGGCTTCCATACACTCGATGATACCGCGAATAGTGCGAGAATTCGCAAATCTGATTTGATCGGTTCGCAGAGGGAAAAACGGAATGTTATGGGTCAGTGATACTCAACCTGTCGAGAATGTCTAATTGAATATAATTGCCCTCATTTGCTTGGCGTTGCCCCGAGACAATGGCCTATTAATCACAGCAGGGTGATCACTCCAAAAAACGAAGATGAGAAAGAGAAAGTTGCAGTGATAGAGGGAGATAATGATATGGATTACTGAGGTTCACGGCTGCACACTGGTAGAATTTTTTTAAATTTCGTGAAAAATATTATGATAAATTCCATGAGAGTGGCTTTGACTCGAATTCAGGGAAAAAATGGTTCTGAAAATTCAAGTTTTAAGTAGAATTCACGGAAATTCATGAGTTCTCAAAGGGAGTGGGAGGTGAAAGACAGTTTAGTCAACCTTCACCTTGAATTCTGCTCTTTCTAAGTTCGCGGTGGTGGGTCAGATCGTTGGCACAACACGGTATCCTCGGTGTTTGGTCGCGGTCTCCCACGATCCAAAAATAAAACCATTTTGGGTGTGTTGGATCACTCGCCGGCTAAAACGGTACTCGCGAATTAAATACAACCACGTAGGTAATAATAGAATGCAACTTCAACTTCTTTGTACTCGAGAGATGAAAATAATATTCTTGTTGAATTCCTACTTTATTCAATTTTTAATTGAATTTTTTCCATTTCATTATTCGATAATTGACGTTAAAGTAAGGGAGAGTGGGGCAAAATTTGTTAATTAACTATTTCTTTTATTAATTTTCGTTTATTAACTGTTCAGTAGAATGGAAAATTATTGAGAAGTTTTGACGGAAGAAGATCTTGTCAATGAATTAATTGAAAAGAAAATGAAACAGCAAAATCCAAAGTCCAGAGGAAGGCCCAGGGGAGACCCAGAGGGGGAAAAAGGGAAATGTGATGCTGAATTTCAATGGAATGAAAAAAGAAAAGTGTAATCGCCCTAATCTAATCAATTGAATTACAGATGAAATATTTCATATTACTTGAAAAGAGAGCTGTGGATAAAATTAGTGAAAATTATTAATATTGTCGTCTCGATATAAGAAATATATGAAAAACCTTCGGGAGTTTCGAATGAGGAGAGAACATAGACTCAGCGATGACGAGGTCTTAGTTTGGCTGCTGGAGAGTCAGGGGACAAGCTGACTAGTGGACGTTGAGATCGAGATCTAACAGGGGAGTGGGATTCATCTGTGGAGGTAGTCGATACGCTATACAAGGGTTTCTAATATCAGTGATTTTTTCGCACCGCATGTTCCTTTCTACCGAATAGAAAATTATTATTCTCATCAGTACTCCCAATAATAAAAAGAGTTGATAAAAAAAAATTGTTTTGCACTGTATCATGTGGCCCCACTCTCCCCTAACTCTACACTCATATTATCAATTTTCGAATCTGCCTGTTCCATGCAACAAATGCAGTGAAAGAAGCTACAACAACGTGATTGTGAATAGTCTGAGGAAGTTGGTAGGAGCAGATTGCTCATCTCCTTGTCCTCCTTATATCAGTGATTTTTTCGCACCGCATGTTCCTTTCTACCGAATAGAAAATTATTATTCTCATCAGTACTCCCAATAATAAAAAGAGTTGATAAAAAAAAATTGTTTTGCACTGTATCATGTGGCCCCACTCTCCCCTAACTCTACACTCATATTATCAATTTTCGAATCTGCCTGTTCCATGCAACAAATGCAGTGAAAGAAGCTACAACAACGTGATTGTGAATAGTCTGAGGAAGTTGGTAGGAGCAGATTGCTCATCTCCTTGTCCTCCTTGTATCAGTGATTTTTTCGCACCGCATGTTCCTTTCTACCGAATAGAAAATTATTATTCTCATCAGTACTCCCAATAATAAAAGTAGTTGATAAAAAATTGTTTTTCGCTTGAATTCCGTCAAATAGTCGTTTTCGGCTGTCTCATTTTGCTCCATGTGTCATTTTAAATGCATTTCAAAGCCTGCCAAATCTATCTTATTAATGAAAAGAAGATTGAAAAATGATAAATTCAAAATGCTCCGGTGAACTTGCATGACGAATGGGTCTACCTCAGATTTTTTTCTCCGACTAAAACGCGTGGTACAATGAGCAAGAGGGAGATGATTGTCATCGCATACACGCTTTTACAGTTAACATAATGACGATCATGTGCGGCTACGGTGACGGAACGATATTCCGCCAGGAAGTCAGCGTCCAGAAGTGACATCGCCATTGCTCTTGATGACAAGGTTGTAGCAAGAGCATAATAAAAGAAGAAAAAGAATTGAATATGATGGAACAGAGTGAAAAACCGATACTAAATATTAGCTCGAGGTAATCGATAGCACAAGTGTCTCATGATACACATATTATTGAATTAAATCCCCCCCAAGAGGCTTGCCAAAGTGGAATAGAAACTGTTGTCATACTGGAACTGAGCGGTATCGGATCGATAATCATGGTTAATTCCAATTTAGTCCTTAGTGACGAAGGGAGTGGTCTCTGACAGTCTGTCTTTTGAAGTTCTATCTAGCTCTTTCTCACCCATGAATAATGCAGAAGTATATTGAAATATATTCTCAAGTGATTCAGGAGGAACAGAAAATTCGCTGAAACACCCTTTGATTGAAATGATTTTGATTATTTGTTTTCTTTTATAAAAAAATGACAAAAAATTTACCAAAATTTCGCTGATTGCTTCAATACAATTTTATTCTTGACTAGGAGGCTACGCGCCCTGCTCGCTCCGCTCGCCAATCCCCATATGACCTCCATGGTCCTTATTCTGACCATTGCGACCCTTAATCCGACCCTCGTGACCCTCATTGTACCCTTCGTCACCCTTAATTTTGGAAGCTTAATTTCGGGTACCAAATTTTCATCACCAAAAATCGATTTGAATTTTTATAATACAGAGAGAATGTAGAGACCCTTATTTTGACCCTTGTGACCCTTATTTGTATTCTTAATTCTGACCCTTAATTTAGCAGTCTCAATTTCAAATTACATTGAATTTTCAATTAA